GCCATCCTGGACGCACTCTTGGCTTTTCTAAGTTAGTTGTCAGCAGTTTCCCTGTTGTTCGACCCATTAGTTTTATCATTATTTTGTTTTTTGTTTGTTTAGTTTATCACTTTGTCCAAAACCCTTAAGATGAAAGCATTAAAGATATAATTATGTCATGCAATAGGGCCTAAATATTTCTAACTGAAAGGCAAAATACTTTTTATTAAACTGCATTAGTACGAAAGCAGTTTGTGCTGCATTGTGCTGGAATACTGCACTGATAAACCAAACAGGAAAACGGAGAGCTGGCAGGCCACAGAGTGCACACTCAGACAGAACACAACCCCTCCCTGCCCCCTCTGGGTCTGTCAGCTGTGTGGGGGCCGTAGACAGGGAAGGGCATCCATTGTGTGCCACGTGATCTCAGCTGCTTACTTTGTTTCGTTTAGCTTTGCAGCCTGGCCCTCATCCATTCTTTACAGCACTTCATTCACTTTCCCAGAATGAAAGGAGACATCATGACATGGTTAGGCAGCAACCAAACCTCGGCCCCCGAGCTTGTTTGTCTATTTCACTTTAATCAGAAGAGACAGCCTGTTTTAACAGAATCATGTTGAGAGTTTATGTACGTCCTAGCGATCTGCAGAGCACATAGTTTAACATATTATGTTAAACTGGCATAAAAAAACAAACAGAATTAATCCCACATGGGTTCCTTTAGTGCCTCAACAACTCTACAAATTGCTCCTTGGAATTACTGATAAGAGTTATATCCTGAAGCTTCTTTTGGCAATTTTTTGGTATGCGTTTATATTTATATAAACAATTTTTATGAATAAAATGTCCTCTACACCTCTTTTGGAGCAGATATTCAGACAGAATTTCCCTGCAGAAGATGAGCACATGCCTCTTTTATTCTACACAACCTGAGGAAATGCTAGTATGGTGCTAGTGTTGGTAATAACTAATGCCGCTGCACCTTTTCGAAGAGTCATCAGAGAAAACCTTTTCCTGTGTTCTCACATCCGACTGAAGCAAAGGCGGTCAAAGAAATAGAACAAGCTGGATGCATTTTTGAATAACCTCTCATGTGAACTGAAATCTTACAGGGAGAGAGATGTAGTTCTCCATAAAAAGACAACTGTGAAACTGTGCAGTGGATTGATCGTGCTGTTCCAGCCGGCCGTATGTGACGCACAGCCCCGTCTGTCGGACTGCCGTGCAATGTTTCTGGAAAATGCAACATCTTGAATTAGTTTCAAACAAAGAGCTAAATGTTAGAAGCTGGTGAATGTTCAATGGGCTTGATCTAAAGAAGCCACTGTGGTAAATTATTGTAACCATGAGTCAAGGTTTCTCGTTGCTCGTTTGCGTGCCTCCTTGTCTTGCCGGCTACACGTGTCAGAGATTTACTGCTGTAATCCACAGGAATTACACCGTCTAAGAGAGCTGGCTCCAAATTAGAGTTCAAAGGTAATAAGCAGGCTGGCTTTGGCTCAAGCATCACCCTGACAGACTTAATAGGCATTCCACTACCTACATATTCCTAAGTAAGTTATAGTTTAAGTGAGAACTTAAGCCTTTTAAACCATGGACATTTGATCTACTGTGAAAGGTTCTTTTTACCGTGTATCAGGAAGTGTGTGTTGTAAGGATTAATCCCTCCAATACAAGAATCTGAGGGTGAATCTTGATCTGCTTTTCTTACCTTTTTTGCCCCTACCTGCTTTCTATTCCTTGTGTTCAAATGGCTCAGAATGCAATATGTGATAATTGGTTCTTGAGATTAATTGGCCTTACATCCAGCCATTATAGGGATCATTTCCATTTTCCGAAAGAAAACGTTTGGAAAACGTCAATTAACCAAGTCCACGACTTAAAATCCTTCTGTACTAAATTGTACATTTATATATTGTACAGTTACATCTGATTGATTATTATATTAGTTTTTTTGTGCATTGAAATAAAATCAGGTAACATTTTAGTATATTTAAATTATTTTAACCCATGCAAAGGACTTTGTCTGCGTTTCCGCTGTTGCTGAGCGTGGCGGGGCAGAAAATACAGCAAGCTAGATGGAGGACACAGACGAATGGTGAGAGCAAGAGAAGGTCAGACATCTGAGGGGAGGGGGAGTGTCGCATCATGGAGGGCAAACTTCAGTTTAGCCCGAAGAAACGACACCCAGCCAACACAAAACCTGGAAACAGTTCACTTCACTGATAGGTCAAGACAGGGCCTACAGGAGAGGGCTGGCAGAGGGAGACCGTTGGCTGTTCATGCTGGCAGAGGTTGACAGGAGCAAAGGCATGGGGCTCTGGGGTTCAGCGGTCCCTTCCATGGATCCAAAGTTCCTGTTGAGCTTAAGAAAATATTGTGCGTCTGAATGGATTTTTGGGCCTTTTTGAATCTATTGAATTTGTGAAATCTAAAACGACATAATGGTAATATTCAATTTGCCATTGGAATAAAACAGAGCAGAGACTGGGGCAGCCAAAGATGAGTCATATTACACAGAGCAGAGGTTTGAAGCTTTTGGATTCAAATCAATATCATCAAACCATGCTGAGATCTCAGTGAAAGATCTTATTAAAAGCATCTGATATAAATACGGTTGGTTACTATAATAGGTTAAGTAAAGGTAAAACAAACTGAACTACAAGTATGTTTTTACACATGAGTTTAGTTTCTTCTCAAATGCTGTATTTAAGAGACCTTATATGAAAACTTGTCCCAGAAATTGTGCACTGATTGTAATTATTTGTGATTGTAATTTTTTTTGCCACAAAATAACCCTAGCATCCCCCCCCCTCTCCCCCTCCCCTCCACACACATACAACGCCATCTGCAGATGACACCGCCTTTCCTGTCTGTGCTTCTCAACCCAATGGCCAGTTTAGATATTGCTGTTATTTCACATGTTGGAGTGAGAAATTATATCATATATGGAGTGAGTAATTATATCAGATTACATGAAAGGGAATGCATTCAATTTGTAATATTACTTTCTGTCACTTTCAGTATCTGCAACACTAACAAAACACTTCAAGTATCTTCTCCAAATACCTTTCCATTTGATCTGTTCCTTAGTGAGAAAAATTAAATCATGACTTTTAAAGCTTTTCCAAATGTAAAGCCCCTCACTCTCTCTGTATTTTCTAGTTTAACCAGAATTTTGAGTCAGTGTCACGCTGTTGTTGTAACATGTTTAACCATGCAGCCCATGGTAGAAAAACCAAGTGTCTGAGGAAAGTTTGGAATGCTCCAGATAAAAGCTAAACTCTTTTTTAGGGGAAGGATTAAGGCCTAAAAAAGAAAGCAATCCACAGCCAGGACAAACGGGGATTAGTAACGGCGTGGCATACGTCGTCATAAGCATGAGCCAAACGCACGTGTACAATGTTTGTGTAATTATTCCTACTATCAGAAAGGGAGAGAAAATCCACTATTATTATTATTATTAGGCAAATTTTCCTCTCTTTACATTCAAAAAGGACAAAGCAGCTGTCCTGGCTCTATCAGTGCCTCATAAATGGAAGAGCCCTCAGGCCTCTGATATTTCTTGGATTATTCAAATGATGCACAGCATGTCAGCTTGTGAGCTTGGAAATGGAAACCTTCCACCAAACAATGAGAGAGCAAATTTCCCCTTAATGTTAAAGCTCATCAAGGTCCTCTGGCTGCTGATGTCATCCCCGTTTGTGCTGTTCATGCCAGAGGACGATGCTTACCTCAGCTGTCCCCTGTGTTGCTGTCTCACTCTGTCCTTAATAAAAGGAATTGGAAGCTCCGTGTCTTTACAGCTTACTAAGTGGCATTAAAAACACAGGGACGTGTCATCAGAGTATGTGAATACAGGTCAGAACCCGGTGAGAAACCTTATCATTTTTCATGATGATGGCTCTGACTTAAACAGGTTCATTCAGCACATGGGCTTGACTTCCCCTGGGGGCTGCCGCCATGGTGATTCTTACACCTGTGCCCGGGCAGAAGAGCGGGTTGATCAGCTGCCAAATTCCTGCTTGTGAGCCTGTTGAAAGAGAGGGCTTCGACCCAGCTATGCCAAACCGGATAATCTGCTGCTCAATACGGGTTCATGCTGCACGGACAACTGTGCAGCAGGATGTGTGTGATTCAAACTTAGAGGTCATTTCTCTGCTTCGGGTGTTTAAAAAAGGTACTACATGATGGACGAATAGTGTTCTCAATTCTTCATGGGGATGTCACAGATACTAACTGTTGTGTCATGTTTAATTAATGTTGTGTGAATGTGGGACATGACAGAAGTGCCATGTGAAATGACTTAATATAGATTTGCAATCCACTGCAAGAGATTCAGCGTTTACAGTTTAAACTTCATACTTCAGACTTAACCTTTCCCATTCTGGATAATGTTTCCCACGTATATTCCTCTGTAGCTTTTTAGCTTTTCTGGACACTCAAAGGGGCTCTTTCCCCCCCACAGCGTCAGCCCCCAGCCTCCCCCAGAGGATCCATCTGCCCACAGGCTTCAGCCATGCTGTACTCCTCTCCTTACTGTCAAATGTGTGTGTGTGTGTGTGTGTGAGTGTGTGTGTGTGTGTGTGTGTGAGTGTACGCTCACAGTGTGGGTGAGCATGTGCGTGGTGGGGAGTGGGATAATGAAAGGATATTTGGCTCTTTTGTCTTGCTTCTTGTCCACCTACAGCAGCAGAGGGATAATCAGTGTTGTGTGTTTGTGTGTGGGCATGACAGAATGTAGTTGAAAGTAACTCCGTTTTATACCTCCCAGTTTTTGGGGAGTGGGTGTAAAGTGGAAACTGCACAGTGCAGAAATAGTGAGGCACATAACTGTGCAGCACAGGCTGCTGCTCCATCTTTCTACACTGACTTTACCCACCCAAAACAGACTCACCGACCCAATTGTTGGACCTCGAAGTTAACATCAAGAGTAACTTGCCTGTTAGTTTTTTCAGCATTAAGTCATTATGGGATTCAGTTAAAAGCTCAAACAAAGTTTTTTCTCCTCCCTCTTTCAGATTATCTGCCTGCAGGACTTCTTTGGCGAGGACGATGTGTTCATAGCATGTGGGCCAGAGAAGTACCGTTATGCACAGGATGACTTTGTGTTGGATCACAGTGGTAAGGCTCCCACAGCCTTTAAGACTGGTAGGCCTCACAAAGACTAACTAAACATCTGTGTGCTTGTTTGTGCAAAAACTTGTGTGTTTCTTGCATCTCCTGTCCTAGTATGTGTAAATTAAGAGGACCTTGTCATTCTGTGTACAGTTTAAAGGTGAATTTTAACTTTGGGGTGGAGTTTTACCACTCGGGGTGCATGTTTCCATTGCTGTTCTAGATTAATTCATTTGTTCATCAGCCTGTCTAGTTTTTTTTTCAGTGTAGTTAATGACAACAAGATCATACAAACTGGAAATAGGGTACTGACATTAAAACATAAACTTGACAGATGTACTTAGCACCAATGTAGATGTGAGGAAGACGTGCTCATTAACCTGCTGCTGTTTCTCTAATTCACACATACTAAACGGAAGTGGTGCAGTGTGATTAAACCCAGTTGTGGAATTGGCTGGGAAAAGACACAACAGCCCCATAGGCTGTATCTACAATATTTATAAAACAAGATTTTTAGTTAAAAGTCTAGAAACAAAACCCTGCAAGCTCTGCATCAGATTTTGCTCCTTTACAGTCGAAAGTTGTCTCCAGTGAAGAAAGGCCACACCAATCTTTACTCTGCCACTGTGGAAAATATTTGGTTCCCAGAAGCTTCAACTGTCATTATAATGATTGTGCTTTTCATTAAACCACTCACATCCATGCTGTTTGCTTGCTTACTGACTGCTATGGCCTCCATTTTCTTGTTTGTTTTAATTGGCAGGGTAGACATGATGGTTACTTACTTCCCATATAGTGGTAGAAAATGTGATTACAGTCAACTGAAATATGGTTTGACAGATTTTGTGTTCGTGATCAAGCTCATTGCTGTTTTTATGGTGAACCCCCTTTTGAAGCTTTGAAAAAACACAAAAATCATTTGACCTCTTTGAATCACAGCTGTATCTGCTGTCCTTTCACCAAGCTGGAGCCACCTGAAGGGAAGGAAAAGGGAGTTTATTCTAGTTACAGTCGGATGTGCGGACATCCTGCCTGGTGTTTGTGTTGTTTGGTCAGGTTGGCTAACAGTAGGGACACAGAGCCTCACACACACTGCGCTAATTGCCTCTGAGGATGAGTAGCAGTGGATTGCTCATATTCAGAAATAGTTTTTAGCTTTTGTCCCACTTAAACTTCATGCCCCACTTATCGAAATTAGGTCCTTGAAGGAACAGAAAAGGGACACCGTGATCCAACTTAAGGTACTGAAACAGCCCTGCTCCTGCAGAAAGGACGAAGTTTGCTGTTGAAACAAGCACAATAAGATAAATGTATTCATTCAAAAGCCACACACATCAAACTTTCATATCAGACATCTCAGTTTAGATTGGATTAATAAAAAATATAAAGAGAACTTTCCTGCTCAAGGATATTGAAGGTGGCAACTTGAATCGATCATGGTGTTTCATCTGTGCCTAAATGTATCAATTTTGATGCATTTTCTGTGATCAATGGAATTCAAAGGATTCTCCAGCATTTAAAGATTTAAAGAAGCAGAATTGAATTATCATTTTGCTTAGTTTCAATATCAGTTTCTGATGTAATGGAGGATGTCATTGGCTTTTTAAGGTGTCTGGGATAACCTTGTTTTCAGATGTTTTTCTTTGCTGACTTTCTTTTCCCATATTCATGTGTTGCTGTCTGCATTTATGGAATTAACAAACCTAACAAAACATTTTCAGAACCACATTCCTGTAGCACTGTGATGAATTTGACGAGCCAATAAGGCTCGGGGTTGTGACCCCAAAGTGTGTTGTTCTTCCAGAATGCAGAGTGTTAAAGACATCGTACAGTCGCTCTGCCACCCCAAACCGGACCGCTAAGAGCCCCAGGACTTCTCGACGCAGCAAATCTCCGGGTGCAGGTTGGAAACTTGCTGTGTCTGACAAACCTGAAAATCTTATATTAACACTCTGACAATACAGTAAGTCTTGAACTTATAAGCTGTAGACACATCTTTTTAGTTTAGTCTCCCAGCTGCCAACAATTGTTCTGGATGGATAGTGTTCTAGAGGATGGCTGCCTTCAAAAATCGGCTAGATCTAAAGGATATCAGATGTACCGAAATATTCCGAGTGTACTTTATTTATTTTTCTTCTGTTTTGCGACTGCAGCGAGGCGGCCTGTCCACTACTCCACCAGTCAGTCTCCAGTCAAATCCCCAGGTAAGGCGGAAACAGGTTTGGCTCCTCAATCATCAAATGATGTTGGTTATTGAGAATTTCTATGCTCCATGTACGATCACACTGGAGGAGGCGCAGCTTTGACCTGAGGGCCTCTCATTGTGCTTTTTGTGCAACAAGGAACAATGAACACTTGTATGAACACAGATGACATAATAGCTTTTGTGTGCGTCGGGCATAAAAGGCAGAACACTTAAAGATGACAGTGAAAAGACTTTACCTCAGCCAGACTTGACTTAAACCTTGACTTGACTGTGAAAGTAAAATATTGTCTCTGATAGTTGTGCTAAAGACATGGCCTGTTGTCAGAGTGAAAGGACTTTTTAAGCTCAGCTTGGTTTACGCAGATGAAGGACTGTGATTTAAAGTTTAACAGTCTCTTTTGTGGGCTAGTGAGGAAGGAAATACTTTTCCTTGTCTCTCGAATGGTTCAAACAATGGAAGCTTTCCTTCACGATGTGTCTTTGTCTCCTGTTTTAAACACTCAAGCAGAAGTCTAACATTGTGACGGTATATTTTTCAACATTTACAACAAGACTCGCCACATTTTCACCAACATTGTGAACTAAAGCAATCTTTTCCGCCAATAGGCTCAACAAGTCTCACACAGAATCGATCATTTAAGGGCGCAACTTAATCTGACATTAACTTTTCCCTGTTCTTGCTTGTCTCCATGCTTCTCTCTCCTCAGTGAATGGCATCTCAGCTCCCAAGTCCACCAAGTCCTCCACTCCGTCTCCTACCAGCCCCCAAACTATTAGTCTGAAGGTAAAGGTCCGTCACATTCATCACATGCACCAAAGCAGATGCTATTTCCACAGGCTGGAACATTTTCTGCACTTTCACATGGAAACACACAGTATGAATTCATGAACACAGACTGTAACCACTGGAACCATGATGTAACCATTAGGCAGCTGACAGTGCAGAAGTGATCAGTGAGTCGCTGTGACATAAGCTGTCACTGTGATTTTACTCTGGTGTAGACCTGCCAGGTGAGATGTCACAAATTCTGCACTGTTGGCATCCTGGGATTGACCTTTGCTTTTATTGTGTGCAAGTTCACACAAAAGCCTTAAAAATAAACGAATGACCAAAAATTCGGCACCTCTTGAATATAATGAAAACCTTTTAGTTCAAAGCAGTCTTGTTTCTGGTATTTTCCTGCCCCCTCCCTTCTTGTAGTGTTCCATAGTTTTCAGTTCAGGTCTGCCACTGAACAGAAGACCCACGGTTTCATATCTAATGGAGTCCAGTTGGTGCCATTAATGGGCTTGTTGTAAAGGAGGGCATAAGGCAAGATTGGACAACCTACTTAGAAGAAAATAAAAACTATGTCGTGAAGTTATGGAGCTACTTACAGTTGTACGTGACCTACTCCCTGTTAGCAGTGATTTACCCCAAAACAACTCATTTGAAATGATCCAGCGTGCTCTTGAACCAGTTCTTCTGTAATGAAAAACGTATTATTCCTCTTAAGCCTGGCACAAACTTTTATGAATTACTGAATGAGGAAGCATGGGGACTATAAAGACGCTGCCGTCTGCACTCTCGGTCTCCTTCACTAAAGCAGGCAGATACAATCATTTATCAGAGGAGAAAGCTTTTTTATGTATCAGGCTATAAAAGGGACTTTTAAGCAGTCCCACCTTTGTCATGGTCCTGAGAGCTTACTTTTAAAGTGAATAATAGATCTTTACCTAAAGGTGGTATATGTTACAGTGGGCTCAGATGGAGGTCTAATTCAGTGCATAGATGAAAAAAAAAGAAAGAAGTCATATTTTTGGGCTCCCTTATTGCTGGCATGTAAAAATAAAGCTACTGGATGGTGAAACGGCCACTGGTTTGCAGAAATGACACTTTTATCAAATGAATCATTGATTTATAGCCATAATGCTTTTATGTGCTGTGTAAGTGGATATGGAGGAGCTCTGTTCCCGTAGCTCTCACACCTTGTACTTTTTGAGGGTCAAGATCAGTTCTGGCTTTTGTCAGTAACTTATAAGTGCATTTATTTTCGGAATAGCGTGCAGGCTGGGAAAAGATGTCACGGCCTTAGAAAACATCCCCATTTGTCTACTTCTAGACTTTAAATGGGGAAAAGTGAAAACTGGTAACAATAAAGCACGGAAATGTGTCATTTGATATGCTGTTTATTTCATCCTTTTCATTCAGCCTGCACCAGAACTCACAAAAATGGGATCTAGCATGAGGGGTTCATCTGTGTGCAGAAATCATTCCATTTTATACGTTCCTTTTTGTTAGAGGCTTTACGAGAACTAGTCCTGATCGTTATTTTTTGTCTCTTGTTGCATTCTGCAGATCCCGTCATCAAATCCCATCTTCTCGCTGAACGGGTCCCTGAATAACCACCAGGAACAAACCCATGAGCTGAGTCCAGAGGGTACACTCACTTCTGTGTTCTTCTGCTCAGCATGAGGCCCCAGAGCATTTGTCAGCACTCAGTAAGATTAAAGCCGCTGTAACCGCTGCCTCTGATCTGCAGTTAACGGGAACCAGTTCTTGCCGTCGTCAAGCATCTTAGAAAAATACAAGATTGGCAAAGTCATCGGAGATGGGAACTTTGCTGTCGTCAAGGAGTGTGTGGAGAGGTATTACATTTAAACAGGAAATCTTTAAGGAACAGTTAGACTGCAGTGAGTCTCTTCTTATGGAACATGTTTCATGTGGGCTCACTGCTTATTTAGGGGAGCCGTATGTCCTGATAACAGGTAATGTGGAGATAAAGACATTTGACGAATAAAAAACACACAGGGATTGTTTGGCCTTTTTCTGCCCAGTTAAACATGGTGGATGACGATGGAGGGTATAAAGTGTGTGTATGCTCTTATTAGACACCTTCCTGGAAAGACAACTGAAGATGAAAACGAAGTTTATCATGTGCGCTTTATAATAAAGATACATTGTATTTTCCTTTAAATATCATTTGCTTGATAGCAGACACAAGTTTTAGTTTCCTGTAGATATGGTGATTTTAATAGCGTTTTGGTGGACAGTCACTAAGAATTAAACTGGTGCTCAGATTTTTTAAAATGCGGTGTCACACTGAGCTGCTGCGCTCCACTATTCGTCCTCTTCTTGGTGCATTTGCAGCGTTTAGACATGTGTGAAATGTAGTTGCGTCCTCATGCGCCTGGCTGCAGACAGCTGGGATGACTCTGCTGATTCTGCTCAGCAGCTCCTCAGCCTGCACAGCACACTCTGTCCCGGGCTCTGGAGCTGGGTTTAGGTTAACATTTTATTGCATCCCGGGTCCTGTTTTTACTGCGCTCTCTAATTGCACTGTTTCTGCTCAGGTCCACGGGGAAGGAGTTCGCTCTCAAGATCATCGACAAGGCCAAATGCTGCGGAAAGGTTTTGCTCTGAACTTTTTTCTTGTTTGTTGCCACGCTCCTCCCCTAATGCAGTCAACCTTAATGTGGTGGATCAGATGGTCATCTGATTCCGCTTTCAGAGCTACAAACACATCAAGTAGAGTCCTACTTCCGTTCTCCATGGTGCATTATTTACACCAACACTCAGCTCAGTATCACCTGTGTGTCTCTGATCCTCCCAGCTTGTATTTCCTATTCAGCCCCCTCTCACATTAGTTGTCCACATGTAGGCAGATCAACAAAGTGGAGCGTGTCCACTGAAGCCTTTTGTCTGAACGTGTGTGTTTCCAGGAGCACCTCATAGAGAATGAAGTGGCTGTGCTGCGGAAGGTCAAACACCCCAACATCATCATGTTGATAGAGGAGCTGGACTCTCCGTCTGAACTGTGTCTCGTCATGGAGCTCATCAAGGTGCCCATCGGGCTACAGTGAAGGCCCAAACAGGTTCACTCTCCTCATGTCTGCGTGCGATTTGACATGTAACTTTTCGATTCTTTCCCAGGGAGGGGATCTATTTGACGCCATCACGTCGTCCGCCAAGTACACAGAGAGAGATGCCGGCGTCATGGTCTATAATCTTGCCGGGGCTCTGAAGTATCTGCACAGCATGAGCATCGTCCACAGAGACATCAAACCAGAAAACCTGCTGGTAGACATGCAGAGAATGCACTTTTTTTCTCCAAAATAAATCCATCTGATCTGTGGGCCTCAACCCAGTTTTCCATTGTAGGTGTTTGAGTATCCAGATGGCACCAAGTCGCTGAAACTGGGAGACTTCGGCCTGGCAACAGTGGTGCAGGGACCGCTGTACACCGTGTGTGGCACTCCCACATATGTGGCTCCTGAAATCATTGCCGAGTCGGGGTAAGCTGGACATTTTGGTTTAAGGTGAAGTGATACATACACACACATTGTGTTGAACTCTAACTGACTGAGTAGCTGTTTTTGTCTGTTTTTTGGCCTATTTAATGTTGAGTCAGTCTCACTGTATTTGGAACGGGATGATGGATGAAGGAAAAGTATTTTTATATATCCTATAACCTTTGCTGTCTTTATTCTCCTCCAACAGCTATGGTGTAAAAGTGGATATCTGGGCTGCAGGTGTGATCACCTACATTCTCCTGTGTGGTTTCCCCCCGTTTAGAAGGTGCATTCTCATGCTTACCTCTGCCAAGGACGTTGTGTAGTTTGAGTGCTTCATCTTTTTTGTCTTGTATTTTTAAAAAATCAAACATTTCTGATTGTATTTCTATAAAAACTTAACCAAAGTTCAGACTTCGTCGGAGATCTGCTAAAGATGCATTTAACCGAAATACACGTTAGATTCTGTTTATGGATGTAAAGGACACTGGTGAACAGTGTCTGTGTTCAGTCATCATGTTTTACTGCACGTTAATTTTGTGTATTATAAAAGCATTTATGCAGGTGTGAGGAGGTTCTCACTATCTTTTAAAGTAGTAGTTTATTAAACTTAAAATAAATTGCCTATTTTTCAGACATGAAGGATTTAGCACTACAAATCTGGTTCAGGAGGCCTCTGTTCCCCATCACGTCCTTGTATAAGAACAAGGACGTCTTTGTTTGTCTTCTCTTAGATGTTGTCAACACCTTATTTTATTCAGTAAAGCTAAAAGAAAATAGTCTAATTTGTCCTGGGGTTGTTCTGAAGGCCCTCAGCCGCCTACATTATATATTCCAATTTATTCATTTTTTGTATCATGTGACGTCCATTAGTTTATCCTTTATTTTTATAATTATCTTCATACATTTTAAATGTATACTATACTATAGACAGATAATTCATTTGAAGCATAGCGAGCAATTACACTGAACTATAATGATCTTTGGATTATTATCTGTCTTATGTGTTGAATAAAATTGTTTATATATGCATGATAATAGATGAATAGATAAACTTTCACTTGTCAGTTGCAAAAGTCAAATCTTTTGGGTCTGTGTTGGTAAGAATTGTTCGATATATGTCTCAATATGTGTGTGTTTGTGCCTCAATCTAGTGAAAATAACCATCAAGAGGAGCTGTTTGATCAAATCCTTCTTGGTCAGCTGGAGTTTCCAACTCCTTACTGGGACAACATCACAGACTCAGCTAAGGTACGTTCCACCGAAAGCACACTTTTATTGATGTTGCCTTTAATGACCGAACGCTCTATTGATCTTAATCTATCTCTAGGGAGAGTTTAGAAAAGAGCATGAGTTAATCCCAACCTTTTAAGTATGCAGACTAAAAAAAAAAGAGTCTGATTCCGGTCTACAAATGTTGGCCTTTTAAACCCCCAATCCATGTGAGAACACACACAGAGTTTACACTCTTTTAATGACTAATGGCTGCTGAGGGCTCTAAATGAATGTCATGGATCAAGGTGGCAGCTCGCTCTCAGCATGTAAAACCAAACTGCTGATTAAAGCCACTTCTGTGACTGCGCAGCATGAGACGCTGTAAAAACACGGGGCTGCGAGCCGCTCGTTCATCTTCAGACCGGGCACATGTCTGGTTTGATGTATCACATGTGGGAGCACATGAATTATTCGTAAACACTTTTTTCAAGTTCACGCTATCCAAAACAGCAGCTTGGTTTCCTCCAGTTACTGGCAGTGGTGGTTTTTATTTTTATTTCTAGTCATCCCTGTTTGAAAAAGTTCGACTAACATTCCCTCATGCATGAGTAAGTAGTTGTTTTTATAAGCAGCTCCTCAATATGCTTTGCCATGAAGTGAGTGATCAATAGAATCTGCTCTCTCTTTGCTTCTCTGCCAGCAGCAGGAAGAAAATTTGTTTTTTTTGTTGTTGTTGTTTATCTGCAGCAAAGTAAAGCAGTGATAAACCCACTTGGCACACGTGGGACAATATCAAACACAATAAGCACAAAATGAGTGAGTGGATGGCAAACATAGCAGAAGATCTGGCAGATATTCCCCTCAGGATATGAGAAACAAAAGCAGAGTGTAATTGAAACTTTACAACTTAAAAAAATATTTAAGGTCGTATATATTTCTCAGGCCGAGCTAAAGATGCCAGCTCGTGGAAGTGGTTTCAAAGACTGTAACGTGTTTATTGTAGAACACGCTTTGAATATTTGCATGTCTGATCTGCCCGCTGGTCTGGTTACAGGAGCTGATCGGAAAGATGCTGCTGGTGGACTCAGAGGCTCGATACACGGCGCAAGATGTCCTGTCACACCCATGGGTCACGGTACTCCAAAACAGTGTTTTTCTTTTTTCTATTTTCTATCTCACTTTGCCTAAAACGATGGTGAGAGCTCTGTGGACTGACGCGGCCCTCTGGGCGGGACCTGTGTGTGCACGCAGGACGACGCAGTCACGGAGAACAATATGAAGGCGGAGGTGACAGGTAAACTGAAGACACACTTCAGCACGGAACCAAAGCGCAGCAAAACGCCGGCCGGAGTGTCGGTCATCGTGGTAAGCGGCCGAAAGCATCCACAGCCCAACACCACAAAACAACAGAGCTGTTTGTTTGGTTTTCATACAGATTAACCGCTATAGATAATGCAAAGATTTGTGACCCTGGTGAAGTTGGGTCAGGAAAAAGTGCCCACGAGTGTTTGACCCAAAAACAGAAGCTTGCATACCTCTTTGGTCCTTTAAATAACTTGTACAAAAATCAATATTCCCAGAAGGCATTGATACCACATTGTAAGCACCTGGTGCTGCTCTAAACATGTGGGATAGGATTTTGGAGGTTGAAAAAGTGGATCAGTTTGGAGACTTGTCTTTCCCCCTGCTGTAGTCACATCCTTCCTTCCTGCCTGTTGGCCTCATCTCCTGTTGTGCAGTATGTCCACCCCTCATTTCATCAGGTCACACCCCCCCGTCAGGCTCACGCTCGCTCCTCAGGCCCTCTCACACTACAGCCGAATGGGGGGGTAGGGGGGGGGTTTCCTTCTGAAGATCGATTTGATGCTCTTCCCGATGTCGAGAGCCTAATTTTGTTGTGAATCTCGTTTGACAGTTTGAGGTGTAAATGCGGGCCACATCCTTGGCTCCTCCTCTTCCTCTCCATCCTCTCCCTCTTCCCTCATCCTCACCCCCCCCTCACACCTGACCCAGGACCACAGGGGACGCCTGGAGCTGAGAGCCTGGTACACACTTCACCCCTTTCGTTCACGTCCCTCCTCCCTCTTCCTCAGTCCCGTCGCCTCCTGTCTCCTAACTCCTGTCTTCCTCTGCGGCCATCGCCCTTCCTCTCCCCCACCCCCCACCCCCGTCTTTTCCTTTCTGTGACATTCTTAAGCCCCCGCCCCTCCTCTTTGGAAGCTAGCCACTCTAACTGCTCTCTAACTAAGCGATGTGGCTTTTGCTAACACATACTTAGCTTTACCTTACTCATTTCATACTCATTACTCTCCCTAATGTCCATCCCCCACTATTTGTATTGCCCACAACCCTAAATATGACCTGACAAAAGTAGAGTTTTGAGAGAATGCGGTTGTTTAATCATGCAGTCAGAAGCAGTTTATAAAAGTTATCACAAAACGGCTGCGTTTTGCCTTGCTCTCCATTGTTATTCCTTTTGTGAAGAACTCCTCTGACTTCATTTAAAGGGGCCGATGAATCTAGAAATCTGTAGTTGGACGCTTACAGGTATTTTGCAATTATTATACTCTGGCGCCACCGTGAGGAGAAGAAAAAGTACTGCACAGACTCAACAGTAAAATCTAAACTTCTTGTCTTGGTTTTACCATTCTCAGGCATTTATAGATGGGTAATTCCTCTGTCTTTTCCTCATCAACAAATCCAACTATAGAGCCAGACTGCTTATCAGAACAACTAAGAATCAGTATATTGTGTTGCTTGTATAGTTTTCTTCTTGAGGGACCAATTGAGGAAAAAGTTGCATTAGCAAGAAAAAGTGTTTAAAGACTTAACATTGATTATTCGTGAAGCATGGTTTGACTTTTATCAAAGCGGCAGGTGTAGACACACACTATCTGTTCAGATGGTTATACTTTGCATGTCTTTCCAGGCAAAGAAAAAAGGAACAATTTAGAGTACATGCTGGAAAAAGTAGGGAGCCCACTGTGCTGATGATGTCCAGTTAAAGAGATGAGATTTAAAATGTTCACACTTCTGTATGCTGAGGCCCAGAAGCAGTAAGGCAACAAAAAGATCAATTTGGAAGAGTTTTAGAGATGCTCGGGAACATAAAGTCTGGGCCTGCACATGAAAAGTGCTGCTGATGCTCCTAAAAGCATTGCTATGAGTTCACCTACTTTTTCCAGCCTGGGCTCAGACATCACTAGCATTTCTAACGAAAGGTTCCTAACTTATTCAAGTCCTTTGCCTCTGAGCGTGAGAATCGGAGAAAACTGCAAGATTAAGCTCAACTAGTGGGTTCGAACACACATTAAGACAGCACAGCACTGTTCTCTGCCTGAAACGATCCCTCATAGGTTGTCTTTTTTTTGTTCCAGCTCAGTTCCCTCAAATGTAAAATGTCATTTGGTTTGGATAAAAACTAAACACCCAGGAAACGCACTGAGCTGGAACAACACCTGTCCTCTGGCCGTCACGCTTGTTGTGTTGAGTTTGTTTTGTGGAGCGTTAGTAAGACTAGTTTTTGTCCCTTTTTGCTTCTTTCCCTCTCCCTGCATTTCGTCCTTCTGATTTAGCACCACGGCAATGGTATGTACTAACACTTCACCCTTTGCCCCCTCTGTTCTGCCGCTGCCATCCAGCTAAAGGGCAAAATGATAAATGTTACATTTACTTATTTTGGCTTCACGGTCTCAAGAATATATCATTCGGACATTATTGTTCTTTATGAAAAAAGTGCCATTCGCACTGCTGCTGCTGCTGAAGGAGAAAGTACATGTTCCCTTTTTCATTTGCCCTTTTCACACTGATAGAGTAGCTCTTTGATTTTCCTTAGTGTGTGGTCAGTGTCGGCAAAGTGTTGCTTCTTTTTCCAATCATCTTTGAATTATTGATGTTCATTTCCATTAGCTTGTCTCATCATGTGACTCATAAAGATCACTAAAAATACTAAAGTGGGTCAGAGGGAAATGATACCAAGTCTGGAATGACATTTACTCACTGTAAGAGGAAAAGGAGCTCTGAATCCAGAGTAGATTTGACTCTTTTTTTTTTATTTGTATGGATGTTATTTATTGAGCTAATGGTTTTTCCTGTCTGTCTGGTCAGAACACAGCTCTAGATAAGGAGCCCCTTCAGCTCATCGCCCGTCGTCATCGTTCAGAACAACAGACAGTGCCAAGTCCTCAAGGAAAGAAAGTCCAGTCCGCTCTCCAGGACGAACCACCTTCTCCAACCAAAGAGGCGTCGCCTCCTCCTTTCCTAAAATCCACTGAGACTGTTTCAGCCGAGGCCGCCCAGAGCACAGAGACCACCTCTGACCCCCCCGCCCTGACCAACATGCCAGCAGTCGCTGAGCTCCAGCAGCCTCCATCAGCTCCTCTAAGTTTGCTGGAGTTCTCCGCTGATACCCCCCCCATCTCCTCCCCACCGGACACAGAGATGCCTCCATCTCTTTTTCCTGATCCGTGCTCACCTCTGGAGCCTCGTCCCCCCTCTGACTGTCCTCTCTCCACCTGCACGGCCTCCTCTTCACCAGTGTCCTGTCCTTCTCCTTTATCTCCCACCAAATCCAATCTAAACCACTCTCCCCCCGCCGAGCAGGCCTCCCCGTTCCCCGTCTCCCCCCTCCAACCCGCCGTACTCTTCCCTCTCTCTTCCCCAGGAAAGCAAGAGCTGCCTTCCCCTTCTCCCGTCCATCCAACCCTTTTCCCCTCTCCCCCCTCCACCCCTCCGGCCGGCCCTCCTTCTCCCAGCCATCTGCTAGCTGAAGAACTTGAGGAGGAATTCTGAATTCCCAGTTCTAGTCTAGGTGCCAGTTCCTCCCCCACACTGCCCCGCGTGGAATGAAGAGGCTAAACCACCATACTGAGCATTTCTTTGTAGCTGTAAACTGAGCCAGTGACTGCTGTATGCACAGGAGTTTTTTTTCCTTGTGAGGATTTGATCTTTTTGTGAGACTGAGGATACAAGGCAGCATCCGATTGTATATGTATTTATTTATTGTTGGAGGAGGATAAAGGGAACAAAGTGGCTATTGCTGATGTAAGTGGTTTGTCTTATTCATCAAACTATTTTTCACCCTGAATTTTTTTTCTAGCACCATTTGGCTTCCAGTTTGTGAATTTTCAGTACCAACACAGCACTACGTGTCCCTTATTCGGATAATTAAGCATATCAAACCTGAGTCTGAACCTTCTACACTAACTTTCAGTATGCAGCCATTTTTGGGTATACAGTAAATTAGAGTATCAAGTAGTTATGAACCTTACTTTAATGAACCACTGCAAAGAAGATGAGAAAAGTCGTCTTGTAGAAAACAAACCCTTCTGTTTATTATGTCTAAATATTTTTGTTAAAGCATCTGAAAAAACAGGAGGTACTTAGTTCATCCTCTCCTGACCCTGGACATTTACCTTTGTAAAAGCTTCCATAACAACTATATACCTAAATACCTGTTGTAGACAATCAGATGGAAAGCTGAATTTGTTCATCCACTGTAGCACATGCCAACGCGTTCACTCACAAAATGTGATATGTGATCAACGCTGTATTTGTAAATAATCTGAGGCCCCTGAGCTGTCCACTGTAAACCCCAGGTAGCTTTTTCCTGTTTGAGCAGAACTCTGCATCATAGAAACTGTCCTGTACAAAAAAACGCGCCGACAGACAGACAGGTTTACTTTTCCTGAACCATCATTTTCAAACACTTGTTAAAGAACACAGGACTACATACCCCAGAATGCTTTGGCTGTGTGGAACTAGTCAATACTTCCTTCAGGATTTTTCAACTAGCAGTTTTGATGTGTTATATTAATAGGAATGAATGTGTTGCTATGGTGACAACAGATCACTGGTTCATAGCTTGACGATATCTCTACTACCAGCAAGGCTAAAATCCCACGTTCTGCCCCAGACCACAGGATTTATTTGAGGGGTTGCCAGCAGCCCCAGACACACCTTTGCTTCTGCATGACCCTCCACCAGTTCTTTGTAAGACAGAACCGTTTTACATCTAAAAAGTGAAGCTGGTACACAGCTTTTTAGATTATCTCCTCTAAAGTAGTTTCATATGCTTTGTAAAGGGAAATTTGTATGAAAAGACAGGTTCATAGTTTAAAGTGTCAAACTGCAGGAATGGTTTTTATTAGGAATAGATCATCTGCTTTTAACGCCCCACTGTTTTCAAACAGTTGAGCAAAAAATGATAAATGCAATAAAGTCTTCAAACCAACATGTCTGTGGCGTGTGTGTATGTGTGACTAAACATTTGACCACTAGAGTGCGCTGTCTAAATCTGGTGATGCTTCTGAAAAATCCACACTGACCATTAAAGTTATAAAATTCATTTTTATTGTCAGAACTCAGCAAACAAAACACTCCAAAATGATTGCAAAGAATAATAATAGCATGAAAAAGAAAAGAAGTTCCCATATAACTGGAGATTTAAACCACTCTGAAGCGCAAACTTTAAAGAAAGGAATGTGGATGCTTTCTGAACAGAAGACCAAAGGGAAATCTCTCGTTTGAATCGCATCTAAATGTGATCAATCTTTCTGTTATTTAAATATCTGATGAGAGCTGTTCCTGCTGCCATGTTGGAAACTAGTGTGTGCGAGGACATTTTAGGTCAGCTGGGACACTGAAGGCGAATCATGGTTTCATCACACCCTTTTTTTTTTTTTAAAGATTCTTCAAGATCAGAAAATACAATTCACTGCTTGTTCAGTCATTGAGAGTCAAGAGTTGACTCCTTGAGCAAAAGACGGTTTGCTGATTCAGGGAAGTTTCATCCTCTGATGTTTGAAGTGTGTTAAACAGATAAGCTGAATATGACTCATGCTCAGAAACATAATCTCTAGGCAAGCACAGAGGGAGGAGACATTAAATATGGACTACATTTAAACATTACATATATAGATATTTATATAAATGTATTTTCCCTCTTTATCTGTCAAGTATATATATGTGTGTGTGTGTGTGTGTGTGTGTGTAAATATATATTCATTAGACATCTCATATTGAACCTGCTGTGTTACCAAAACAGGAAAAGCATGTTGTGGATGACAGCTCAATAAGTATTCCCTACAAACACACCTACTGGAAAAAATAAATCACTCACCCCCAAAATAGACAAATATTTGGAATTTTACGTCTCTAACTCCCCTCAAATCCCTCTTTTATTTCCTGAAGGAGATGAAAATAGACTCTTACAGCTAAAAATAGATTTGTTTTTAACCGTACAATAACACAACCCCCCACCTTAAGATTTATATGAAAATTTTTCTAGCAGATCTACAAAATATAGCAATGCCCTTTTTAAAAATAGTTGGGATTCTTTCACGATAACAGGACAGCTTTTCATTGCTTCTTCCATTGAGTTACATTCAGAATATCAGGTACACAGATCAGAGTCTTTAACAAGAGTTCCCACTCTGCCACGTCAATCGTTTTCTTCTCATCTGTCAGTGGAGTTGCTGAAGTCTTTCCTTTAGTACCTGGTCTGGTACTCGTGATGCCACCTGTTGAAGTCGTTATAGAAAAGTACGATGCTTCCAGATGCCATGCCGGTGATGATGCACCTGAGGTCGGGTGAAGAGGAAACATCAGAGCGTGTTTTCATTTCAAAACGTATACTGATGTGTGTTCTTGAGTATTTGATTACTTTATTTTTACTCTCTATTAATTAGCATGGCATTACCATGGATTTCGTTTTCCCTTTAATTCCCATATAAAGCAAGTTGCTGAGACAGCCTGCTTCCATTGAAAATAAAGGGGGGAAATAGTTCATGAATGTGTTACTTTAATGTTGATGAATTCCTGATTCAACAGTAATTACTATAAGGGATCATATTAGTAAAGTTTTAACATTTTCATTTAACCTAATTCCTGGTTAAATATAGAGTAGAATTTCAAATCATTTTTCTCACATATAAATGTCTGTGAATCCTTTTGGATTCATATGTATAAGTTGTGATTCAAAAGTCTCCAAAAGCAATGGGAGATATCAGGCCTTCTCATGTTGAGCAGTTGGGCCAAAGGCTGAAGCAACTCAAATCATGAGTGTAATTGTGAGACTAATGAGTGGGAATCTGTTTGTCTGTATTTTTAAAATTAGAATGATAACAAGTGTAGTTTTATCAGACCAAGTCTAACTCAAAGTTACAGTCTTATAGGTATTTATTTTTTTGGTTTTGCACTTTTTCTCTGGTTAAAGATCAAGAGGGAAGTTTTACCTTTGGTCATGTGACATGGCCATGGAGCGGATTCCGGCGTCACAGCCCGGGTAAGTGAAGAGCTGTTTGAGGTCATAAACCTGCCATACAGATACCACACCTCCATCCCCACCTGTCAGGAGATACTGACCATCTCGACTAAGAAGCATGGCCTGCCAGACGTAAAGAGAAAAAAAAAACTCATTAAAAATTACATCCGTTATTGCTTTTACATCATAAATGGTTCACAGATGGAGCAGCGGTATTGTAACCTCCATAAACTGTCCCCCAATGTTTAACCACATGCATAAATAGGCCTGGTCTTCTTTGGTCTGTTTATCTGAGTAAAGATCATATTATGTGGCTGTTTGATAGAACAAAAGATCCCACGATCTGTACACAGACCCAGACTCTCAACAAAGATGGCTCCCCGCAGTTAGGCTCAGAGATTTACTCATCTCATCTGCTTTTCTTGCAAACTGCAGCAGCTGAACGGCTCCCTCGGGAATCAGATGTACACAAATCAAGTGCTGTGCTGGAGTCTATTATGGGCACTGTGCTTTGTGGAAGCTAAAACTAAAACAGTCAGGAGCATCAATCAGCGAGTAACTGTAGCTGATGAAATGACGAGGCAGAATGTAAGTTCTAAAAGCAGAAAATGACACTAAGAGCTTTTGTCGTTTGTGGTTTTATGACGCTGAGGTCGGATGTCTTTCAGCCGCGGGCCCTTTGCAGCGATTCAGCAAGAGACACTTCAATCATCAGCAGCATGTGTGTTGAATCAAGCTCTCATTAAATGGGAAAAAGAAAGTTAAGGGTGGAACAAGTAGTTTTCAGGAACTTGATTTGATTGGAAAACAAACAAGCCTTCACAAACAGAAAGTGGACACCAAACTAAGCAAATGGTTTTCATTGACCAAAAAAAAAAAAAAAATCCACACTAGGTTTCTCATTAAGCGCACACAAGTGACCGCCCTCTCTCACACAAACAGATACATTACCGTCATCCAACCAGGCGGCCGCTGACCGCCTCAGGCGGCAGGTTTCGCTGCAGCCTAATTGCTCATTGGATCATCAGACCTGTGACTGAAGGCAGGGCTGGTTTGATTTGTGTGGTGCGAGTGCTCCAGTAACGGCCTCATGCACAAATGTTCAGCAGTAACACAGCCCATCCAGCCCAGCCCAGCCATCTTAGGGACAAAAAAAGCCACTTTGATCAGATGTCAGCGGTCAGGAGGCGTATAGACGTGCAGCTGATGACACTGATTCTTACTCCCCTTCTAGATGTTGAGTCCTAACCAAATAGAGGAAATGATCTCCTTAAATTAGCCGCTCATTTTTTCTGTCTGACACATGACTTTAGGAATGTTGTGATACCTCCACATTCTAACTGTCACTCCCTGAATGTGTAGAAGAATGATTTACCTATGCCTTCACACAACACAACTTCGTGTTCTGCAACTAAGCATTTTTGTCCAAGCAATACCGTAGGCAGGCTCCCGTATGTCCAAAACCTTTCACCAAACGATCACCCACACTAAACTCTAGCAACGCAAACTTCCAAACCTTATCCCTTCTAATAAAACCCCTCACTAATGGCCCTGCTCCTCAGCGCCTCTTTGACGTCGCTCTACTCTTGCACCTTGTCCCACATCTTCAGGGCCTGGAACACTTGCCAGCTCTCCATTCCCCACACTAATCTGTGGGCTTACAGACAGCGCTTTCAGAACCGTAAGTGCAATTCTCCCTACTGCTGAGATTTTCAGTGTCTCTTCTTTGGAAAAAAATAACTCACTGCTAAAACTCAGGCACACTAATGTTTTTTTTAAGAAATATTTTTATTGAATTTTATAACAAAAGAAAGAGCAAGTGACCGTGATACACTTAACACAGATTCTTATTAAATAACTTGGTCCCCAGAGCAAACAAACACAAATAAACAATAATAAACAATGAGAAAAAGAAAAACAAACAACAAAAACAAACTAAAAATAAAAAAATAAAAAATAAAAATAAATAAAAAAAAACAAAAAACAGCAATCTCTGTACAGTTCTCTTAATGTCCTTTGTAACGTTTCAGAAACTCAGTCAACGGTGACCATGTCTTTTCAAATTTGGCTCCTTTTCCTCTGACAATATAAGTGAGTTGCTCCATAGCCATACAGGATGACATCTCCTTCACCCACATGTGCTTTGATGGTATATCTATTTTTTTCCAGTATAGGGATATTAATCTCCTGGCCTGCAGGAGTCCAAAGTCAATCAATTTTAGCTGTCTGGAATTAAAAGCACAGTTCTCTGAATAAATACCCAAAACACACAATTTAGCCTCAGCAGGTACATTCACTCCAACAATCTCTGACAAGGTTTTCGTAACCAAGTTCCAATATTGTTGTAACTTTGGACACTCCCATACACAGTGAAAAAGAGTACCCCTTCCAACCAAACATTTGGAAGGCACACTAATGTTGATGGACTTTCCTCAGTTTCATCATCAGATGTCTATTAAAGTCATGTATAAATTCATGCTTTATCTTTTATGCAGAACAGATACACCCCCCAGCACCCAGAGAGTCCAAGTCTGTGCAGAGAGGGTAGATGTTCCCAGTGGTTTGTGGATTTTTGTTCAGAAACCGTGAATGTGTGGGTTTGGTACAGTTTTTCATCCAACAAAGCAAAATATAGAACAACTAGAACAGCCAATGCAAACAAGTCAGCTGGGTGATATTCCTCAAGGTTTGTCACCAGAAGGAATCATTTCGGGGGAGAAAAACTCTTGTTACCACAGCTCAGTTAATGATCTAATAATCTTAGAAATATCTAAGATGCAGACAGTGCAGCTCGCTATTCAGCAGTTAAAACACTTTTTGTAGTTACTGGGTAGTCTTAATATACTTGTGTATCCACTAATGGAGTCCATGACCTTACTGAGCACAGCAGGAGGCAGCAGGGCTGGCAGACATGTCAGCTTGGCCAGGTAGGAGGCTGCTGACAGACATAATAAATCAGTCCTCAGCCACTGGGCGGTCAAACAAGATGGCCGATGGCTCTGTAGGGGCTAAGATGGCTGCCTTGGCTCCGATTACTAAAAAATTACTCCAGCAGAAACGCACGCACGCTGAATGCCCATATTTTCTACTTTTTCCCCCCCTGAACAGTGGGTGGATTCTGGGGCTGGAGAAGGTAAAATGTTTAATTTATGGGGCTGTTAATCCCTCTGTTACACAATGAAAAAACTGCTGGGATGCTTACACCGCACGAGTTATGCCATAACTTAAAAGAACGTAATCCATTCAGTATGGCCTCTGTCACCTGATTCTGCTATTAGGCCAGGATGCCGACTGTTAGCCTGTCATCTAACCTCTGACTCCAGACCCCTATAAAGTCACAGCACATACATTCTTACTCTCCATTTCCAAATGAGTACAGCTGGCCATGACAAACACTTATTTATCCCAGAGTCACACTGTGTGGAGACCCCGATGGCTAAGAAGATTGATTCTGCTTTGTACATGAGTGCACTAAATACTGTTGGATCAGGAGAGCGGAGTCAAGCAAGTGGAGACCAACAGCCTCATTTCAAGATATTAGGATGTTCTTAATGCCATCTGACACAGATGGAATTTACAACAGTCAGGGCGAACGGCTGAGGCCGGCTGCTGCCTGCTCTGTTCCCATGCTTTATCTCTGGTGGAAACCCTGGGAAAACTACAAAGCAAATCTAAAACATTGTTAGTGTCTTTTAAAGACACAATAAAGTTCTTAGAAACCTTGAAACTAAACACTTGCTACTCTCACAGTGCTGGTAATGCGCTCAATCAGTGTAGTTGCGGCTTTGCAGACGCGGGCTGGCTGGCAGGTTAAGAGCCTCGGCAAAAGAGGTTTCTTAATACGAAACAGGCGTGCGGCTGTCTGTCAGAGCTAGCTTACATTTCCCAGGCCAAACCGGAAACAAACGGCCTGGAAACCAAAGGCAGTAGCCGCTATCTTGTGTCACTCTAGCCACCCGGGAGGAAATGTGGGCAATGGGGAATGTGTCGTCCAGTGCTGGAGGGTAGTTAATGGTGTTGGTGTCCAGGACTGACCACTCCTCTGGAATGTTTTCCACTACTGCGGCAATTTGACCTGACAACAGAGCTCTGGATCAAAAGAACTATTTCCTCTGGTGTATGCGGGTGAACGCAGAAAGAGAGATGTGGAATCTCACGTTTGTCCCGAGGCACGCTGACCTTCACCTCACTCAGATCTCAAACCGAAATCGAGCCTTTAATCAGTGGGAGGACTTTCTGCACAGATGTGGTGCAGACAAACATATGAAAGTGCACTCTCCAGTGTAAAGTCATGCAGAAATGGTTAGTTCCTCACCTTGACGCTGTCTTCAACCTCCATGTGTCTAAGAAGTTTTCCATTGACACTGAAGAGACAAAACTGTCCCTTGTCGTAATAAATCATGCAGTGACCCTCGGTGGAGGACTGAATGAGTCGTGGTCGAAGGCAGCGCTCTGGTCCCTCAAGGGTTCGTAGCAGGTCCCCATTCATAGAATGGATCAGACAAGGACCCTCTGCAGGCAGACACAACCAGAAAAGGCTCAGTTGGTTAAAAGAATAATAATAATGCAGCAGATGTAGTATTGCAGGTGTTACAAACTTCTACTGGAACAATGCATAAACTATATGTGTGTAATGTACTGTGTTCATCATGTTGACATCAGCATTTGGCTGAAATCTGCGGTACGTGCTGGTCCACATTTTTGATAATCAAATGCAATCTTGTTTCCGAAAAAGTCAAATCACATCTGATCTTACAACTGATATATTTTCTTTTCCTGTTTTTAAAATATGTTCAATGGGAATTTTCTATTCAAGTTTAATGAAAATAAGGTTATACACTAACACTAAAACCAGCACTGAGACACTGAAGTCTGTGCAGTTTTATTCTATTTCATGAACGGACGTGATGTGAATAAACTGTAATTAAAAGAGGCAACACTGTAAGACTGATAATTTTTCCAGCACAATAAAAAAAAAAAAAGATTATCGCTTGTCTAGATGCCCCAAGACTCTTCTTAATTAAAAACTGAGTATAAACGGCAAGTTAAATAGTTTGCAAATAGCTTTCCCCTCTCTTATTTACATTTTTAAAATATTTTAGAATTAACTTTGCACTGACCGCTGACTTTGCATAAATATAGAAGCCGTTGAGGTTTGTGTGGAACCATATTTTTAATCTATATCTTGTTTTTTCCAGTCATTATTGAACATTCTGTAATGTACACACTAAGAATGATTTGAAATACGTTTACTTTAAGTTAAAGACATGTCGACAGACATGCTGCCTCACCTTTGGAGCCGCTGATGACGAGACCCAACTCGGCACAAACACTTACACAGGTCACCTCACAGTCATGGCCAGTCAGGATGGCCCTTGGCGTGGTAAATGCTGCTGATATAAAACAAACAAGTGTTTGACTATGGAGCATATGTGGTACTGCTTTGTGTTCACTAGAGGGAGCAAAACACATAAAAACGAACGCACTGATGGATGGACGACACCGGCCAGGACTGGTATGAGGACGATCACCAGATAATGAATATAAAGAATTATAGAAAAATATCACAGTGTTAAGAGAATATATGCAGAGGATTCTTTGGAAGACAACACTGGGATTTTTTAGTCATGTATGCCCTTCACACACAAGCAAACTCTCCCTTTACGGAGTTTGTCCCTGACAGTTGCCTTCTTTTTTTTTTTTTAAATTGAAATTTATTTATTTATTTCTTAAACCTTTTCCCCGTGAGCGCCTTCACTGGATCCAGATGTTTCAGAATTAAACAGGCAGAAAAGCAGAAAACCAGAGGGAGCAAGGATAAGTTATGGTCCAAGTCATGAAATTTGTGTGATTTTGTTTTGGTTTGAGCTGTCAGGGCAAGTGACAACACAAAATCGGCTGTTATTTCTCCATCTGTCTTCTCTGCCTGTGAGTGAACACACATGTATACACATGCGTGCACAGATACATAGAGCTTAGTTTTGGTGTTGTTACTGTAAATACCATTATTCCTTAACAACTCAAGATGGATTAATGATAGAGATTGCTGTAGCTTAAACATCTGGCTAAAGTGTCAAAGTTTTGAGTTGGATGACTCAAAGGTACACAAAGGTATCTGAGATGTAAAACAGAGAAGCAGAGCAGGTCCGCAATGTGAGTCTGTATGCACATAAAGCCTAAGTTCTGTTGTTCATTTCTCAGGAAGGGGTCTTATCTTTACCCACCCCAAACTTTCTCTGGTTGAGGTCAGCATTAGCTCAAAAAGTGAAAAATGATGACTCGTGTTGGATCGTCCCAAATTTCTCTCGAAAACGCTTCTCACACTCACAAACAAAACTCTGCGTTTTCAAAAAATTCAAATATACAACATTACTTATAAAATACAGGTTTGATGCAGCTTCATTGACATGCCTTGCCACGTCCCAGAAAGCTGTAGCTACTGTTAGCTCTTTATTAGATTCAGCAGACAGACCGTTAACCACAGTCTTTGTGCAAAAACGCAAACAGAGGACATGTTACATAGAGTATTTGAAACCCATGTGACCAACATGATTACAGAAATGTACTTAAATTATATGATAAATGTAGAATTATGGAAAAATCCTATACAGGCATGTACTGTAATGAAACATTTGTTTTGCTACTAATTGTCAGATTGTCATCAATAGGATTCTATAACCAGCTGTTTTCACATTTAGCCGTCTGTGCAGTGGTTCCAAACAAGGTGGCCCAGCCCAAACATCCACATTTGATCCAGTTAACTGGTTACCCTAATAGTCACTAAAAGGCACGGCAAGGCAGGGAACCACAAAATGATGTTGGATTTTGCAGAGTGAAGACCAATAAAGCCAATAAACTGAATAAGCTATTGGTTTTAAGCCATGACCTGCCATTTGGTTTTAATTAGGTCAACATCTGATTATAATCTTATACCTGTACATGACCAAAGCTGGAACACTGAGGAGGGTATCAACTATCTGTGTGTGTCTGTGTGGCAATGTGCCAGCATGTGTGTGTGTGTGCGCATACTTCTACTACTTGTGGTTCGGGAATATTAATCTTTTAACAGTCAGTTTTTAAACTCAAGTTTATCTTTCAGAGCTAAAATAATGTCAATTACTTTTTCACTTTTTAGATAAGACTGGAATTTAGCATGTTTACCCTCTGAACATTGTGTATATATATTTGTATTGTACTGTATAATTCAGCTTTTAGGTAGTTTGGGTAATCATTAAGACGTGTGTATTTGGTATACACGGTATACAAATACATACACACCATGATAACCCAGGAAAAACTTTTTTTTTCCGTAAAGCCCAAAATGATAGAATTATGTTTTCAGGCATAAATAAAACCATAAACAGTCGGTATCTGACAGGGCTTTCACCTTACGTGAGTGATCTGTGTATGTAGATAAGACAGACTCATGGTTAAAGTCTTTAAAGTTAACACAGCAGTCTGGTCACTAAGCAGCAGAGGTCATTAAACAGATTAAACAGATTTAATGTGTCATTAAACACATTAAACAAAAAGATGGTAAATGGCTCCTTCTGGATATGTTTTAAAGTAGCAGGCAGGCAGTACAACATGGAAGTAACTGGATGAATTGAATTGGTGTAACTGATCAAATCTACACAGAGTTTAATGCGGAGGAGTGTAGATGTACACACAGAGACAAAGGGCAGCTTCAGATGGCCTTGTGTTCAAAGGCTCTATAATATCATCACAGGGTTAAGTATAAGACGGTTTTATCTATGTTCTGCTTGTCCCCTATTTACAGAGTGGAGTGTTTATTTCCAATTTTCACTGGTGTTTTAACCAAGATGCTTAAGATACTTTAGATTGAAACCACATAAAAATAGTTCTGTCATTAAAACAACAGATTTTTAGTATGAATGCAAAGAAAATTCAGAATTATACAATAAAAAATAGATATTGATTAACAAGGGTTTACAGTCCCCTTAGGTGTACTTTAGTATATATTAATTATTGGGATTATATTTGCATTTAGCTTGCTGCTTGTAATCTATTAAAGAAAAAAAAAGTGAAGAGAGGTTTTTGTCAAATACTTAAAAGAATCTCAAGGCAAGAGCTGAACCAAAAAAACCGAAGTACAGCATCTGACATTTTGTATTTCCATAAGACAACACTTATTCCCTGCTGTTAAAAGGTGGGAAGTGTGGCAGATGTTGACAGCCAACAGCTTTGACTAACACCCTAAAACACTGTAAAGTATTCAGTGAAGCAGTGCAAACCCTTAAACCTTTAATACATATGTGAATTGCTGTCAAGATAAACCTTTTCCATGACAGAAAAGCATTAGAAAACTGTCTGCAAATTTACAAAATCCTCTAACAAAAAGCAAAGAAGCATTTTTATTTTTGAAATAGATAGGATAGACTTTTTTTAAAGCAAATTTGCTTATTAGTAAATAAGTCGCAATGTAGCCGTTTCCTCTATTTAAGCAGCAGATGGCAGTAGTGTCTGCTGAATCTGCCCTGCTCACAGCAGGAGCTCAGAGCGCATGGTCAGTGTGTTCATGGACATATCACCCATTCAGACACACAAGAGTCAAGCTTATGAAGTGTTCTAGAGCTCCAAAAATCCTTATGCGTGAAAAGAATTGGTGTGTTTTTTCGCTGCCCTCTTTAACTATTTGTTGATTTCAGCTTTCATGTGTTCGGGTGACGAATGAAAATGAAAAACAAAAATATGAAATTGTGAGCATTTACGTGTGTGTCACTGTGTGGGCATGCTGCAGAACTTCAAGTCTGGGAGAGCTTTCTGCGGTTTGGGGCAATGGAGCATCACATTGTGGTGGTGAGGGGATGGGATGATGAGAGCTTGGTCTTTTCCTCCGGGGTTAGTGTCAAGACATCTGATGTTTAGATGCAAATGCACCACAAGGCACGTATATGTAGAAAATATGTTAAATTTACACTCCGTTTTTTAGTCATGGTGTGACAAGTTTATAATTTTTGCAGGATTTCATTATTGTGTTTGTGTTCCCAAAATAGCACAAGGAATATTTGCTTGAAGGCGGTGAATTTAATTTGGCCTAAAACATTAATTTTGAATGTGTATGTATTAAAATTAATAGATTTTCTTTGATTTTGAAATACCACATCAATGCAAATGAGCTGAGATGTGATTCTTTGATACAAAAAAGCAGTTTTGCTTATTAACCCAATCGCAATTTGTCATAAATTTCATCCCATTTGCAATGGATCACTTAACAACTTGCACGCCTATCTAAGCCGGCCAAATTAGCACCGAAAAGGTTTCGAACTGAGCAATGTGTGTGCAATGCTTTGATCATAGCTAATGCCATATGTTATGGTAACGCAAGGGAGGCCCATGACATTTTTCACTTTTATCGACTAGTGTGACCCCGTGGCCCTCAGATGGTGGTGAACTTTCATGTGCTGGCCGACGAACCCCAACATCACATTTAACGTCTCTAAGTGGTCCTCACTTTCACTCACATTAAGGACAGATTCTCACACACATTCAGACACACACGTAATATCTGGCCTTGCAGAGACACACACACACACACACACACGCACACACAGTACAATCCAAAACACATTATCAAAAGCTGTTCTTGGTGTGACAGTGTTGCGAAATCCAATCTGTATGCAGGAGGCCTGGCCTGGTCAGACGAAACTAGTTGTTACTTTACAGAGGGAGGCCGTAAATCACACAGTCACAACTGTCTGGGAGAGGGAGCACTCAGAGAATACCTCTACGTGTTTGTGTGTGTGTGTGTGTGTGCTGCCATATTGGGCTGTGTTCTTACTGCCTGGGCTCTCTCCAATGCTGCTGTTCTTCCCGTTCCAGTACCAAAGCAGTAGCGTGGCATCCCTGGAGCCTGAGAGGACGTAGCAGTCTCCTCCGATGTACGACTCGGAGCGGGCAAGGCACGTCACCACGTCTCGATGCCCAAACACTATCTGTGTCAGTTTGCCTGTAAACAGCATCAAAATACGACACGACTTAATAGAGTCATGTCCATCTTCCATTAAACGAAATAAAACAGCATAGTGTTTAGAAAAAAACTAAAAACATTTTAAAAACATAGCGACATGGTTCTGTCCATTTCATAAGCATCTTGCTTTAACCAAAGTCATGTATTTTCTGATAACCAGAACTCCTAATTTGGTAGAGCATGTTTGATGATCGCCTGCCTGACTAGCTGATCAACATGAGAACAGACTTTTGCTAATCCAAGACAAGAATAAATGTTTGCCATGGTTTGTGTGTGTGTGTGTGTGTGTGCCTGAGCACATCCAGTGTGTTCCATGTGTATATGTAAAGAGGCTAATTGCTGTCAGATTTCAAGACCACAGCTCTACTGTCTAGCTGTCTTACACTCATTACGCTCCTCATAGTGTGACCTCTGCAGTCAAACAGTGGATAGTTTGCGGCACATGACATTTCTGTCTTGGTGTCAAAATCACCATCCTGTGGATCACTGAACAGCTTCACAATGAAATGATGGGAGTTATTATGAAAGTGGGCGGGTCATTGACTTAACTTCCAAAGAAGAACAGAGACATCAAAGATGTGAAATGTTTGACATTTCTATAAACAGTGAGAATAAGTAATGATGGCTGCTGCAATAATAGCTACCATGCACCTCATATCAAACACACATTCTCCTGCTCACACACATGCATGAACACAGACGAATCAAACTGGGGGCGTGTGTGCATGCTGGCGTGTGAGGCTGCGTTTTGTGCATGTGTACCAATCAAGCTTTGTAATTGATAAAATGCCTCTGTTCTTTAACCTGGGGGAATTAGGGACCTTGGTGGCAGCTGTTGAACGTGTGCGATTAAACTGCGTTCACGTTCCAGTCACACAGCCTCATGGCAGTCACACAATAGAGCTATCTCTGCACTCCCAACCCTCCTCCCCTCCCTTGTCCAAAAAAGACAGGGAGGGCCTGGCCTGTAGAAATTGAATTGGAAGGTGTTGTATAGATGCATGTACCACTTTGAATGGGGCTGGGGGGAGCAGTGAGGAGCTGTGCACAGCAATGAAGCTGCAGACAGTTTAATTTAAGACCCCTGACCTTATGGTATTTTTGTGTGAAACCTTTGCATTTAATATGTATATAAAAATGGAAAAATCAGTGCTGCTAAAGCACGACAAACCCCAAAGTACTGTAGAGCGCATTTAAGTGAGTAGAGTATTTAAATATATACAGTATATGGCATAGAGGAAAAATAAGTTATGCAGTGCTCTTCTATCTTTATTAAGGCAAAGCTCTTTATATTAAAACTCACATCAAAATGCACACACAACACAACCAACTCTTTTTTTCTCAGTGCCTCTTCCTTACAAAGTACTGAACATTTATCAGTACTGTGCTGTGCATGCAGACTGGAGATCTAACCATGGAAAATCTAGCCATCACATTTCTGAGTAGAAGAAGCAGCCGTAAGTCCAAAGTTCATGTGAAACCAGATTTTGATATAGCAACTCAAAGAGTTTTTCAGAAATTATGCAAAACTGTGTTAAAAATTTGAAATATGGATGAGGGACTACAAAGGACGGAGGAGATCTGGTAAAAAATGCGGCAGTGACTGGACAGTGAAGACAACAAAACGCGTGCTGTTTTACTAGCAGCAATGATTGTACTAAATACTTACATACTGATAGCTAAGAGCAGCTGTAAATTTCTCAATGTGTTATCAAAGTGTTTTCCAAACAATGCCCTTAAGGAGGTGGAAGCGAGGCAAGGGAAGCGTGTCAAACTTTATAGGGGATGGATCACATCGCATTGCACTGTACCTGAGTCGGTGGAGTAGACCCGGAAGCTCTTGTCCCAGAAGCCACACAGAAGGATGAAGCGGTTGTCGGCTGTGATGACAAAACACTGGGAGCTGATCTGAATGCTCTGATCCAGCAGGTCTGAGATCTGACGACGATGAGTGCCCACGTTGCTGGCTAAACGGGAAAAAGCAAACACAGGCTTACATGCTGAAAATTCATAGTGGTGCACAGAAGTATGAAACTTACAGAGCGATCCAACAAACAGTATATCAGCAGTATAGTGTTTATACAGTATATCAGCAATCTTCAAAGAGCTCACACTTTGATGCACCTCCACTGGAGCTTGAGTGCAAAGAAGATTTGTGAGAGGATACATAAAACATCCTGGAGATTAAGTTTATATGGACTTCACATTTTCCATGAGAGTTTGAGAGGCTGAGTAATGTCCGAGTGTGCATAAGCTTCACAAAATACATACACCACTCCAGTCAGGACAGACGCTGGAAATTCATCTTGGTCTTCTGATTAAGCACAGATAGTTACAAGGCTAATTTATTTGACACTCTGTTACATGAGTCATCTTTTTTTTTTTCTAAAGAGATATGTCAATTGTCTTTGTTTTTAAAGGAGTCAAACACACCGGGGAACAGGTGAGACTTAGAACGTCCAGTGTGTCTGCAGTTACTAATATTTCACCCAATTTTTTAACATCTCCCAGAGCCACAGATGGCTCAACACTCATCCTCAATTTACTGTGTTTAGCTCAGGCTCCTCTTGGAATGCAAACAGTGTAAATATATTGCTGACAAGAACAAAACTCCCAGCTATCTTCCCCAAAATGTGCGCACACTCCCACTAACAGAAAAAGCATATTATTTAGTACATGATGATGGTGTAGTGTTTGAATTGATGACCAATGTGCCATGGGGGCAAATGTCAAATTATGGAATAAATAAATAACAGATATAAAGCTAAATGAATCCTTAAAGGCATGTTTTCATACGCACTGTAACAAATAGCACACAGCCACTGCAAGGCTCTTGCAAAAACATGCCCCGAATGCGTAAATAGTGATGGTAGGATAAGATTTATTTTATTCTGCCTAAGGGCCACTGAAGCAGAGAAGTACGGCACTGTATGGGTAGATAAAGATGAATATCTGAGAATCAACTCTGGTTATTTTCAAAAGTCAAGTTATTAAGGGAAAAGAGGGTGGAAAGGGTCCTGTGAGACAGAGTGACCACAGCTTTCACAGAGAAAAAACGGCCCTTTTTGCAGATGTGCCTGAGATTACAAGAAAGTACAGAAAAAGCATCGGATGTGGGAGCCAAAAGTAAAAAAACAAAAAAAACCAGGCTTGTCCTCACTGCTCTGCTGGTGCGTCCCATACATCACTGCAGCTCGGCACTCTTCTCCTGCTCATCAACAAGTCGTGACGGATGAGAGGCGCCCATATTGTCCTGACAGCCATCCACCGTGCATTCTCAATCACACATTATTACCACATTCATATTCATTTCCACTGACACGCGTCCTTTCCCTCCGCTCAAATTAAACCAAAGAAGATGCATTCAGGGAGGGAGGAAAGGGATGACGGCGAGGAAGCAAGAGGGGGAGTTGATGATGAAATGCTGGCCTAGGCCACAGCTCATTGCATTCCAATTTGCATGCAAATGGTTTGGTGTGAGAGCAGGGCCTATATCATGACAAGTGAACTGGGGTAGAGGCTGAGAAACAACTCTAATCTACTGTCCAGGGACACTGCCATGAGTCACCAAGAAGCCAGCAGGATTCATACACAAATCCACACAAAAACTAATTTCATGCATATATAAGCTCACACTCAAGTGTGTGGAGATTCTTCAACTCATAAATGACAGCATACCTATCAGAGGGTCAATTTCCACAGGAAGTTGGTACTGCTGCTCGGCTGAGCTCTGTTGACCTGACAGAGAGGAAGATGGATTGGATTAATATTGTAATTGAGTGGCCACATGAAGTAGGTCTTTACAACACACTGAAAACTATAACCATAAGGTCAGAATGTGACAACTGGCCCATGAGTTCTCCAATGAATTATCCATGAATTATTTAGTAATTATGCCATAAGGCGATAGAGAATGTAAGGCAACAAAATCCTTTTTTTTCTTTGCCCAAACGTATCTATACGATACGTAAAATATTGGAAAAACAATGAAAATGCAAAAACCTTGAATAAAAAAAATTGACATTCTTTAAAATCAAATTAAGTAGAAATTGCAACTTATTTAGAAAATGCGTTTTTGTTATAATGCACTGTCAGTCTAAAATAGATTCATCTGAAAGAATTCTAGAATTTAAGAAATGATTTATTTCATTCAGGTTAAGAGCTGCAGATTAACTTATTCAAGAATTTAACAATGTGAATTGTTAGATGCCCCAAATATGAGATATGAGACACAGAAAGCTTGAATCTGCAGATATCTAATGTTAATGGCAACAATATGATCAGTGTACTCTGCGGTGTGCATGAATGACATTCTATTGAGAATTTACCAGTCTTCATCCTTGTGAACTCAGAGATATCAAATTTAATGTATCTTCTGCGGCAAGACGGATCTTGAGTAAATAAGGTTTTGCAAAGTGATCAGCGGATGTATGAAGGTGGACGTGAGATCTAATGCGGGCTGCTACATGTGTCACATTTGATACTGCTGTCTGGTAGACACAGTCAACTGTCTCCCAAATCAACGTCCATCCGATGGGGACGTGATGGGTCAATCCTCATAAATTAGATGTTTGAGCATTAATTATTAAGGACAGACAGTTTAAAATGTTGTGTTAATGAAACAAGGATTTGCATCTTCTTGAAATGACATCCATATTAATTAATATCAGAGGTGAATTGGTATTTTTATTGGGACAAAAAGCGCGAGGACATCCAAATGTTTGTTTGCATGGCCACAAGATTCTCACCTGTCAGGCCATGCCACTTGTTGACAGCAAAGAGGCGGTTGGCAGTGACCGTGATGATTCCAGGTGACGTTAGACCTGGCTGAGTGTTGGCCGCTATGTGGGTCACGGGCGAATTGGATGGGAACTTCAACACCATGATCACATCCTGCTGCATCTGCTCCGTGAACATCAGCGGGGTCTGCATGAGAAGATACTGTTCAGGCCCCCGGGGATGGATGACGGGACGAAGGGATGAGGGAGAAAAAGAGCGGAGAGAAAAGGAGTGACAAGCAAAGAGCCAAACAAAAAGTTGAAGGATGCAGCCCCAGAAGGTGGCGGTGAGGAAGAAAAAATAAATAGGGAGATGGAAGACAGAAAAGCAGAGAGTTAAAAGCGGGAAAATGCATTAAGCAGAAGTATAGCAGTACTAGGAAACAAGTTTGTCCAGAAAGACCAAGAACTTGTTTTTAACAAACAGAAATAAGGAAATCAGGGAGGATATTCATTTCTGATTTCGCAAAGACTTTAGTTTAAACAAAAATGGTGAAAGATAAATTAAAGTTAAATGGCATTCTATTAAAGTCTCCTACTCCCTTCGCGTGGTTACATTCTCCACAGTTGACAAAGCTTGTAAATCTTAAGGTTCAACGTCAGTGTTAATTTATCATGACAGTGAACTAGAAATTGTAAATCAGAAACTTTCCATGCAAACCTAAAAAACACATTTCTAAAACCCCTTCAGAATACCAATGTGAACCATAACAGAACTGAATGCTTTCAGGTCAGGCTCACATTTACCTTTCATGGGCAAGATCCTAGAAAAGTTGGCTTCTGAACAACTCAGCTGTTATCTGAGCTAACTGTATCTCAGGGAAATTATATTTCACACTCTGTCCTCATCAATCGACGTAAAAACAATGGTACAAATAGCAAATGATCTCACAATGACATAGAAGAAAGAACAGACAACAGATCAAAGGCTTCCAGATGTAAGTGCTGCACCAGACACCACAAATGATAGCATCACCAAACAAAAGGTCAGGTCTTGCTTCTAACACGCTGTGATTTGGGGTGTTCATTGGTGAAATTAAATGCTCCGGATATGGGACAGCGAAGGGGGAAAACACTCTCTGGGACTGAAATAACAGTTGTACGTCTGGACACAATTCTTTCATGTCCCAACAGAGAAATTGTTTTCAGATAATCCTCTAATAAAATGGAAATGATTACTTGTGGCAAAACCAGGCAGACCACCGTGAGAAAGACCAGGGAGGGCTGGGACACTGCTAGCAAAGGCAGTATGGGAGACCCAGCTTATCACCCCCATAATAATAAGCCAAATCTCTATATGTACGGTGTTGTGGTCCAAACTACTCAGTTTGATGAATATAATTCAGTGGTGGAAGGTAAAACTGACAGAAGAGACATGCAATGTACTCTCTGTTAATTATTTTATATCTCATGAAAAGCTTTCAGACAATTTCAAAGATGTATTGGTCAAACTCTAAATTCTTCAGGTTTCTATCCTTTATTTTCATAATTGTTAAGAACTCTTGCTTTCTGAAATGTGCCATTGAAAAAATAAACATCCTTCGTCTAACTAGAAGCTATAAAATATCTGGGGAAAAAAGGCCACATGGAGGGATTTTTTTACATCTGTTGTTTTGTTTTTTAAACTATTAAATCCCCAGAGTTATCTGATAAATAATCAAATATGGAATAAATGTAATTCCAACACTTGAGAAGGTGAAGCAACTTTTCTATTAAAAAAAACAGCAACGAAAAAAAAAAAGACTTAATGTAGTTAATCTGTTGTCATATTATCAAACCTGACTTTGATTTAACCTTGTTCCTAGTGTTATTAATCCATTGCTGTATCATAATAAATGCCCTTTCATTGACCTTTCATACAGTTTCCTATGCTTAGACAAGGTTTAGCACCATTTTTAAAGTGTTAGTACTAAGCAGCTTGAACAGAAAGCTATTTTCCTCCTTGCGTGTAAAGAAGAGGAACATCAGTGTTAAACATCAGGAACAGACCTGAGTAAATCCGGTGCGTCTGACAGCTAACCAGAAGCACTGACAGTATCATTACCACCAGCATAGGCAGATGCCGACACTCTGACAACACACTTTCGTGAGAGAGGAAGGAAGGAAAGAAAGTGGAGAGTAAGATCATATAAGAGGACAGAGAGCTGAGCGTTTTGTGGGAGTAGAACGCTATAAAAAGGGTTAGAAAAGTATCTGGAAAATGTTGTCTGAATAGCATGTTTTGAAAACTGTATGTAGCAAAGTTCAAATTAGAAAAAAAAAAAAGTCAGACAGTTCACTACATAGTTGGGCGGTGAATTCAAAGTGAAATTGTGAGTTTGTGTGTGTGTGTGCGCTGGGTGGTGGTCCAAAGCCAGCTGTCAGCGCCGCAGGGACACCACACTAATAGGGACTCAAGGGACCTTGGCCCATCAGAAGCAGAGCAGGCACACTGACTGCACTCGTTGGCCCTTAAAGGGCCATCACTTCAGAACTTCTGCTAACTGCTCTCTTTCGCTGATCTCCTCCGTTTCCAGCTCAGGTGGAAAATCTGGCTCAGACCCAGGTTTCCAGCATGAAGCTTTGCTTTTCTCTTGAAAAGCGCTTACTAAACACACATGCACATAAATGCTTGTGATCTCTCCTTTCAAAGACACCTCACTAATGATGAGAGAGGGGAAGATTTCTAAACCGAGACCGTATTTTCCCACAGTGGGAGAAGGCAAAATGGGGTGCAGGAGGTAAATGAAAATGATGAAAAGAGTAAGTAACAAATTTGAACAAAGACTTAAAACTTGATGGAATGCAGACCAGAAATCAAAGAGAAAAATCTAATACATCTTAGTTGGCTTCTGAGCCCCCTTTTCAAAAATAGCATATCTACAATATTTATTAATGCACGTTTATGCAGCACTCACCACTTGCATGGCTGAGCTTCGGGGTGGGTGTGGCTCAATGAGCAACTGACAGGGGGTCTGTCCAAAACTCCTGATTTGGGATTCCACAGCCTGAAGAAATATAAATATAAAATGTTAAAAAATGCTAAATATATCAATGTCATATCAGTCATTTCGATTATATAAGTCTTGTTACATCTGTATATGATCATTTTGAACAAATAAGAACAACAATCAAAGAATCCACTTAGATATGTTGCAGTAACATCAGGTTCTAAAACATATAAACAGTATAGACACTTATGATACGCTCACACACATTTACACACAACCATCAATTTATCCTCCAGAGCAACCCCGAATCAGAGGGAGGCTGGGCAGGCCGGCTGGTATGCTTGGTTAGGTGGTGCTAATGAAGAGGTATAGCACCATAAATGTCAAAGCAGACGCTAGCTGAGCAGCCCCTGGACACCATCACACAGCTCACTGTCAGGCCAACTAACGCTGGGAGTGATACACTCACTTTATTGATATATAAGGCTTTGTTTAAGTCAAATAACATGCATGTTAACATAGCATGTTAAGCGCCACAGCTAAGGTGGTTTTTATAACATCAATTTTTACCCAGAAACTATCTAACTTAGATCTAACTTATAAACTTTTCAGTTTCAGCTGAGGACAAAAATACGTGTAAAAAATGCTTGTGAATTTGCATCCACGCATGTGTACATAAAACCCCCAAGAGTCCTTTTGTTATAACCCAGAAAAGGCTGGAAAAGTGCATCATTACATTAAGGTGACCATAAACTACAGCAAAACCAAGCATGTGCAGCAGACAGCAATGATAGAGTTAACAAAGGGGACAGGTAGACAGAAAATGACCAACACAAAATGATGACGGATCCATCAGAATGTCAGTGTGCTCTGTGACTGGCTGTGTGGGAGTGACAGCTTGTGTGTGTAGTCTGAAACGTTTGAGCCTGACTTGGCGTAGACTCGGAATGAGCTCATGGTTGAGGCTTGCATATGGTATTTCCATGAGAAAAAGGTTCTGAAATTAGTCAGCTCTTACCCATTGTCTGAAACTATCCAGAAAGAGGAGTGATTTTCTATCGGTTTCTTCACCAAATTAGGGCTTAAAAATAAGACACAAAGGCACCGACATATATTTATTTTTTGTTCAGTTTTTTGTTTTGTATCTTAGACACAGGGGAGATCCAACAGGGCAGAATTTCTTCTCTGGTTCCCTGATTTTCTAAAAAAAAAACTTTTTTTATAGAATCTTTCTTTTCAATTACAGTCAATTATTTTAATGAATAAAGCAGTAAAAATGTATACCACAGTCAAATGACAGATCTTAAAACTGTATACAAAAGTGAAAGTGGTGGCTTGAAGAACTGAACTTGAATTTTCATCTTTTGCATAATAAAGGATATGATAAGGATAATAAAGGAAGCATTGGATCTTCTATCAGATCTTATAATGGTCAACCATACAAATCTTTATGGCAGTTTTGCTTGGTAAAATGAATGAATTAATGAAAAAGGAATAGTGTTTAGTTGTGTAGTCCTGGCCAAAATGGTATTATTCTTAACACACTTATGTGGTCAAACATGTCCCATCTGACAGTGGGAGCGTTCTTGATCCTGTACTCACAGATTAATGTTTATTAAAAGTGGTTTGTAAGAACGAATGGAAGAAAGACACGATGACATCGAAGAGCAGAACTCCTCACAGTTGCATTTTCACACTAATCGTGATGGAGAGCTGAAATGTTTTCTATCACATCCAGTCAGTCTGAGAACATCAGAGCATCATTCAAGGTCAAAGTTCCACTTTCCTCTGACTAAGAGCGAGAGCATTTTGCTTAAGCTAATGTGTGGAAGACACTCCTCAAAGGCACTCAACTTATCTTCATTAAGTTCAGATCTGACATTTACGAGGCTGTGGAACGGCAGAACACGCCGACCTAGACTGAGCCACTTTCCACCCCTTTATGCCAATGCAATGCTCAGGTGATTATACGAGAGGCCAGTCACAAGGCCAATCTCTTTCGGAAGCGCTGGCCCGTGTCTGATGAGGGTTTTCTGAATTCTATACATTTAAATGACAGCAACGCCCTCATCTCGGATGCCTCACCCTGTCTTTTGATTTACTCAGCCAGTCGACAAGATGAATCCCCATGTAAAACATTGTGCTTTTATGCTAATCAAATCCAGTAACACCGACTCTGAATAAAATTCAATTGTGGGTACAGTATTTCTGACCAGGAATGTGGCAGGAAACCTGGCATCTGAGCTTTTATTGTTGGTCTTGAATATTTAGAGCAGTGGAGATCTTGACCAAAGCAAACAAACTAGCATGTCTTATGTTGGTTGAGCGACTTTGGCAAAATGTCAAAGCAGGTTCACTGGCTTTGGCTTGTTTCCCGTTTTCTGCCGAATTACGCAAACCCTGTGCAATTCAAATAGGGCTCTGTGTTTTGTCGCTGGTGTGCGGCAGTGGGATTTTCCATAATCATATGTGAAAAAAAGGGGAAAGCCCTGTATAAGTAGGAGAAGGCGAGTCAGGGAGTGTTTCTCTTAACACACCAAGAGGCAACCCAGATGTGCACGCAAGCCCTGCAGACGAGGACATGAATGAATCTGCAGGACAGGAAACAATCATGGGCTTGAAAAACATGGCAGTGGTATCCACAGCAGTCAGCAATCTGTGCTGAGAAATTCCAAACTTTCTCCCTGGACTTAAATGCACAAATAAACACACTACTATGGGCATCTATGCTGATGAGCACAAATAAATATACGGAAGTATGCAAGTGCTAATGAATGGATCTAAACACACACGGAGGTGTAAACATATTGAGGAAGGCTCCGCACCCATGTCTGTGTGAGTGTGTATGGAAACTGGAAGGCTAAGGCTGACAGGGAATTGGCTTGGCAGGAACAGGAGGATCAGCAAAACAAAAATACAGATCCCACTCCCCCATTCTGTGTCCACATGCACACTTTATTCACACACGTCTGTAAACACCCCTCCCTCCCCGACGGTGAACTGCCCCAGGGCCTGCCTTAATGCGGCCTAGCCTGGCCCCGGCCACAGCTCAGGCTGAAACAGTTGTCACTCAGTCATGACAGACTCTGGGGACACTTTCGAACCCCAATCCCCCAGTCTCACAGCTCCATGAGCCCCCCCTCCTTCCAAGCGCCCAGATGTGACGAGGCCCAGGCCTGAAACTCTGCTTCCACCTTCTGCCCAGACAGGGCACGTTTCCTTCCGCACAAACACAGTTGACGGCGAGCAGTGGATTAGCTCACAGGGGCAGCGCTGCCATAGTTTATTTAACTAATTAAAGTGCTCAGACTGGGGTTGTTTTCAGAGGCATAAAGCAGCCGACCGGAATCACACCATCAGAGAGGGAGAGGCAAGAGAGAGAAAAGACCCGCCTCCTTCATCTATGGTCTGGTCAGCAGGGCAAACTTTAATGCTTTATAATGTTTCTGTACACAAAAGCATCAATAAGGTTTCCATTTCCGTCCTGATTAAGTGTGCTATAGTGATATTAGAAAGCAAGTTAGTACCGCATTCTATCACAAGTATAGTGGAGGACTGGACATCCAAAGTGTGCATTTCTTTCCGGCGGTTGACTAATACAGCTTCTATCATGTGCACCTGCCTCTTATGGCGTCCTGTATGCTGGTAGATTAATCAATCCCATTGTCACTAGAACCGCTTGGCAGAAATAGTAGACAGGGATCCAATTTTCTGGTGTGTGTGTGTGTTAACTACGAGAATGGGTAATGGGCTGAGCGTGAAAATGACCGGTGAGCCCGGGTAATGAATCTGCATGTGTGTGTGTGAGTGTGTGTGTGTGTGTGTGTGTGGATAAAGGCCAAAGCACATCTGGATGGGAATTAGGGTGAATGAGGTGATAAATCAAAGATGTACCCCTGGTGCCCGCGATGCTCCAGTCACCGAGCATGAAGGGCAGCATTACAGAGGCGCTGAGAGGCTGTTCGGCCACTTGATATACACTGAACTCATCTCCATTTAGATCTGAATGCCAAGAGTGGTGTTATTTATTACAGAATGAGTCTCGTTTGTTTGAGTCCTGGTATTGCTTACATGATTTTTAACACCCTAAAGTGAACTTAAGGGAACACGACAATGAGAAAGTCAGCTGGTCAACAGATAAGTGGTTATCTGTTGTGTTTCCTCTTCTTTCTGGATTTCCGATTACCAGATCTAAGGAGTTGTGTTTCAAAGACGGCAAAAATAGTCACAGTACGAGCCACAATGGAGCAAACTATAATACCCCTTTAAGAGAGGGTTATTCTTTATATACCATGACATCAAAAAGAGAACACAACCCCCTTTAGTGCTAAAACTGACGGGAAAAAGGGTGAGTTTGTCTTGCTGCCAGCAAGCCACCTTTAACAGCGGATTGGTGAAGTTGTCAGGGCAGTGTTTGGATGCTGAGGAGCTAGCAGTGTTTCTCTTTACAGCGCTGTGTTTTGTGTAGTTGCTTTCGGGCAGGCTGGTGTAGGCTTATGAGTGCAGCAGTTCAAAGTGGTGGAAATGAATAATGAATGAAAGCCAAGGAGGAGGCTTTAAGGCGTTAAAGTGGAATACTTGGAGGAGTGCTTTCAAAAGGTATCACATGAGGAAAAGGCTTTGCTCAGCAATAGCTGCCAGCAGATTGTTAGCTTAGCTCTCCTGTGTCATTCTGCCAGCAATATAACATGGCTAAAGGCGTCAAAAACCTCCCTGAAACATAGATGGAAAGAAACAAAAAGAGATGCTTTTATAATATCAATCAGATTAAGCATCCATGTGAGAGTACCCGAGTGTATTTACTGTATTAATGTATGATCTCTTTAGTCAGCAGGATCTGCAGCAGGAGTTCAATCAGTGAGCATTAGTGTTTGTGTACATGCAACACTTTAAGGCAGCAACCTCACCTCTCTGAGCATGGGGTCGTTGATGGTGCTGAGGTTGACTGCTCCTTCGTAAGTCAGATAATAGAACACGTTTAGGGCTCTGGCTGCTTCGGGCCCCTGCTGCTTGTAGCCGAAAATCAAATCAATCCATTGGTGAAGCTGGCAGGATACAAACTCGCTCTCCAAAGCCTGTGAGAGGAGGAGAGGACAGATGATGATAACACTGTAAAGTTCAGGAGAAGCCTGACATTTAAACACCATGCTCTGACCAAATGCTGCCCATCAAACACACTCATCATCCCATTAATAAACAGCAGTTATAACCAAAGTCACTCTGTGGGGAATTCCTGAATATTCTGCTAATTGTTCAAGTGGTTCAATCAGATAATTATTTCTATCATGAGAAAAATGCACAGTGTATCTATAGCTGATCATAAGGGATCATCAAAACTCTAGTAGCTCATTAGGGAGCCATTTCAGCTTCTGCCTTTGTTCTTTTCTCTGCAGCTCATGAGGCGATAAGAGCACCATGCTGCATGTCTGCAGACTTTTCTGCATCTCTACAACGGTGAGCCGTTTTCCCTCCTCATTAGTCGGCAAAGGAGGGAAAAAGCATTTATGTTTCCTCATAAAAATAGGCTATTGTGTTAATTTGTGTAAAGCTGTCTGCTCACAAAAGCCCACTAAACACAACCAAATTAGAATGAGGCAGCCCTTGATTGTCATTGCTGCCTTGTGTCACATTAATTTGTGACAAAACATTAGCCTGCACTGCACTTAAATGGCAATTTATATCATTTAAATTTTTACTGCTGATACCAGTGCATCCTTCACTTAAATGTGTCTTTCTGACAGGTCATTTTGCATCTAATTTGTCCCCACTCGCTTAATTACAACTTTCAGTCTGCAAGGAAAGCAAAGGAGATTGTGAGCAGCTCAGGTATGAAGGTGAAGACTGAATTTATGCCCCAAAAGCAGGAGGAGCATGGAAGGAAACAAACATATTAGGACACAAACGCCAAGGAGATTCAAAGGGTTCTATGCAAAGGACCCAAGTAAACAAAGGTTTAAAATCACAAGCAACAACATCTCTAAAGAGAATATTGTTCTTGATTAAGGATTTTAAAAGAGAAACATAAATAGTCAAGACACAATTCTCATATTCAGTGTTCAATATCTCATTTTGTATTATAACAGTTTTTTAAACAATTGTACGTGTTTCAGTAATTCTCCATTTAATTCACAAGACATTGTCCGAGCATGAGAAAGTGGTTTTCTTTTGCAATTTCTCCTCTTTAGCATAAGTTGGTTAGAAGCTTGTAGTTTGGATACCTTTACAAAAAGAAAGCAAAACAAACCAGTTCCACTGTAGTCAGGCAATGTTAGCATGTCACATGTCAATCCTTTCATTAATGTAACGTTACAAGGTTGTAAAACTCTCTTTATTCAAACTCTCTTTAAGAGTGGTTAAAGAGTGGTTCTGTCCTGCATGTAGTTTATGTTTGTTGTCTGTGTGTGAGTGACAGAACAAGACAGAGAGGAAGATCAGTTCATTACGCACTGGAATTGACCTTTGACGGGCCCCGTTCCCCCGTTCCTAAAACTAACGCTGGGGCTGATGGGCATTTAATGTGCACTGCAATCAACTGTCAATCAGCATGGAGGAAACAAAGAGCAACCATGTTACTGCAGCTCTGCCTCCGGAGGCCCGCCTTTATGTAAATCACTCACACGAACCATTTGGAGAGCATGGATGGAGAACAAGCAAGCTAAGGAAGAGCATGAGCGTGTTAACATCTGTCTCACAAAAGGCTCCGCGCTTCTCTTTGCCTGAAGTCAGTGTTTGAATACAGCCTCAGTGGACTACTGGAAATCTCAAAGAATAACGGCTACAGCCTGTGGAGATGCAGCAACATGCCTTAATGTTACATACGAGCCTTTCCCTCAGGAACATTATAAACAGCCGTGTTACCAAGTGACTGAGACAACAGAGAAGTTACGATGCAAATAAAAAGAATAACTTATACATTTTAAATCAGAAACACTCCACAGACCTACATGATAAAAAGACAATCCACCGAATAAAGATAGCGCTTCAATGGGTAATATTCTTTCTAAAAAGAGCCCCCCCTCACAAAAAAAGATAACTTTTCTAACGAACATAGCTTTAGCAGAAATATTGAATTAGGTTTGATCCACGTTATGCAACTATTCTCACTAACGACTGAAAAAAAGAAAAGAAGGAAATACAGATGGCCACCACTAAACTGCACAGCGCATGTCTTTGCCACTACCAAAACAAACACAGACGGTACTGTGAAGAAATTGAACTTTGAGGCCAATATGTGTGATTCTTGTTTGAAATAGAATTCTTAGAATAGAATTTTTGTTCAACAGAAAATTATAAATATAACTAACTAGAAGCTAATTTGGTATATTTGACAATAATGTTAAATGTCGTCATGAGTATTTGGACAGTCCTTTTTGCAGTTGAACATGGATCAACAGCCTCCACATTTCTGTGTTGATGTCATAAATACTCCAATGACAAATCTGTTCCTGAAATAAATAAAACTTTTCTCTTCCTTTATATCTGTGATGTCTGCCAAGTGCCATTGTGGCCCAAAAAAAAAACAAATTAAGGGGATTGTTTTCTATGGAGTAATCTGCAGTGTTTGTGGTAGGACAGGGAAGCCTGAAGCAACACATGATGAAATTGATCAAAACGTTCTAGTTACTTCACGATGACTGGAACCAGAGTCTTTGGAAGTATCTCGGGACTTCACAAATTCTGAAATGATATGTGTGAAGTCCACAGAGTAGCTGTGTTCCAATTAAAGCATTAAGAGCGTGTCAGGTGAGCTGGGGTGGAGGTGCGTCCTCCTTGTGTGGTGCCTGTTGGAGGAAATTTCTCAGCAGAAGCTTGGTGAACATAGCAGATTCCTGAAGTGAAATCTGGTGCCACTTCAGAAGAACCAGGCAGGATTATTGATGTGCCAATTAGCAGCCAGTGTGTGCGTCCTCCCCACCCACAGGGGACTCTCTGATAATTAATGAATAATTTAGCATGCTTTTATGTAAATGCTGACAGGGGGTAGAAGTCATTGGAAACCCACATTTCTATTGTTACAATTTTGACAAAGTACACCTTTGAAGCTTTGGGGGGGCTTTCCCCTTTGTTGTGTGCTATGATTTCATTCCAAAGGAAACAAAAATTTGGATTATGCTCCTGCATAGAAAATGATTTACTGATCCTAATCACTTTCCCCTACAAACGCCAATATGTACCCTAAATAACTATATGTTTATTTTGTTGGTGTGCTAGTTTGACAGGCTGTGATGTGACTTCCAATCTAAATGTATCATAATGAAACGGGCTGTTTCATTATGTCACTGTATCTATAGCTCCAGTTTGGACCTTAAACCTTTAACTAAAAACAAAAATTGCTTTTAAAATGCTCACACACATAACTTCAGTGTCTGTTATTTCTTTGGCTTTTGCATGAGTTTTAAAGACATCAAACCAAGTGATTACAACTGAGCAGCTGGTGGACATTAAATAAGGGGATTACAATCCTCACGTGCAGATCGAGAATGTCTAATCCCAAATCAGTAGCTGGAATGTGTCTTTTTTCTTTTCTTTCTTTTCTTTTGCTTGCTTGCAGATGGAGGGTTACATTTTTACTATTTATGTATAATGTTGAAACCTTTTTCTGCTTGTTGCAATGACTATCCTTTCTGCTATAAAGTTTTTTTAAATGTGTCCTCTCAGGGTACAGGCCCGTACTGGACCCATTAGAGACGTTTCTATACCTCATTCTGGTTTGTGGTTAGCTTTATGATCTGGGTTGAGCTGGATTTTTTCTTCTGTCTTAACAAGGTGACAGTGAATGCTTTCCTCCTTCATGTGTCTGCTTTTAAAAACCCTTTTAAAGACTTATGAAGAGCTGTCTGTAAGGACATTAAAACATCGCTTAGCAAATCAATCCACTCATTTGCATGCTATTACCACCAGTGTGCTTAACTGAATGCTAGTGGTTTATGCAGTGCAGTCAGGTCTGCATTTTCAACTTAAAAAAAAACAACAAGCTGATCAAAACATCTTGAAGACCACAGTCTGCATGTGTGGTGAGAAACATATGCTTTTTCACATGTCTGAAAGGATCTTTTACAGTTACAGCAGATTAAGATATGTTCTGTCTTTCTTTGGTGTGGCTTGGACTAAATCAACATTCCGTCTAATCTACACACTTCCAAAAACCGCTTTTCCTTGCACCAAAGAATACATGCGGGAAATTATGAGGTAAACTAGGGAGGATGAAAATTATCTATGTAGAAAAAACAATAAACAGGAGTCGTCTGAAGCCAACATGCTGACCCTTATTTCCCTAATTCAGTCGGATCCTTTGTTATTTACGTATTCCCCCATAGTTATCACTGAATGTTCAAATTGCGCATGTGTTTAGTACACTAGACATCATTATCTTTAATGGAAGCCAGACTATTCTTCCTACTTTAATACAACTTTAATATCTTGCTTGTTTAGATTCTCTTTTCATCCTCCAAGTTCAACAGCCGCCTTTTATTTTCCTGTCTACTTATTCTCTCACTTCTAATGCTGCTTCTCTCTCCCTCCTGCTTTCTACAAGTCATCCGATCCTTCAGATCAACTCCTCTGGAGCTGCTTTGGCCTGAGGTTGACAAGCACTCTGATTAAAGGGCTTATTTAGCTCTCTGTAGATGAGAGGCCGATTGTCATGTTGAAGGAGACAGAGGAGGGCTGTACATAGCCAGGAGAAAGGGGGCCCAAAATGGTAGAGGAAAGGGAAAAAAAGCAATGGATGACGTAAGGAATGAGATCCTGGGAGCAGCCACGCAGCTAACGAACCATTTCCTTTACTCTCATATTCGCACACACCAACTAAAGCCCAGATGTTACTGCAGTTTCTCCCCCCCTTTTCTCTCAACTAATTAGAAAGGTCACAACTGTGAGAGTTCTGGCTGGGGTTCAGTGGAGGCACTCGCTGGCAAGTGGAACCTGAAACTCAAATCCTAATTCTCTTCTTCCATCTTTCTTCCCATCTTTTGCCCGCTTAAAGAGAGAGACTATCAGGTTATGGGCTGAAAAGAAGCAGAATGAGCAGAGATTGGGAACCAAAACAAACACGGCTTTCAGGATTTTGTCTCTT